ATGGTCATTATTTAGTGGTCTCACAATGTATAAATCACTTGGTCAGTGGGGTTGATTTACTACGTAAGAATATTTTTCACTTGGCTCAGTGAAGCTGTATTCACTTTAATCATTCAGTCATGTGCAAAGGACATTTCTGTTTTCTTATGTGCCTATGCCCTTGATTGAATGGTCAAAGTGAGCTAGGATAAGTGAAAAATGTACTCCTTTACTAAATAAACCCAACCGAGCCTTTAAGCAGAAGAAGAAGCGTGATCATTTATTGAAAACACATTGGAGTAGAACATTCCAAACTTTCTTTTAGTTACTTGCATATACAATTGCATTATTCAATGAAAAAGATGGCAAAAGAGGCATGTACTGACCCTTGTTCAATTTTTTTGGCTCGTGTGAGGATATATAATTGCATGGTGAAGCAGTGATGGTGTACATTATCACATGTGAAAAATACTTGTTATAAAGATTTCTTTGGTTGACCACATAGCATTCCCTTTTTCCTCTTTGAATGGTAGTAGTTGTCAAGTGACCAAAGAGCTCTGTAGAACTGCTGTATCTCAGAATTGCCATACTTCCCTGAATTGAAGCCCCAAAATGACAGCTTCCCATTGACTTGGACCTCAAATATAGAACACACAAAAAAGAAATGTGCGTCATGTTCAATATCACGTGGACTTTAAGTAGTGATTGTGGAATCTGGAACCAAATCAACAATTTATGCATTTTCTAAAAGTTAATGCACTTGTATTATTACAGTCATTAGGTGGCCCTTGTCATGTGGTGATTGAATAGGGGCCACATAGTGTACATCTTGATGTGGTACCAAACTATATTTTCCAGGTATGTCTGATTTGATATTTGGACTGCTGAGCAAAGTGCCATTGTTTTGCATACTAGTCAGGCCCTGGAGAAAAAGACCCGAAGAACCCTAGCATGACCGGGGTTAAAAGGGGAGTGGTGGACACGGGTGGAGTTCCTAAAAGTTTAAAGGATGCAGAGGGGGGTACTGACCTTATTGGGAGGCTGGACAGGATGGGTGGAGGGGGTTGGAGGCAGGACAGTTCGGAAGATTTCAGTTGGGGGACCGTAGACTTCAGGGAATCTTCCTGCCCTCCCTTCTCTGTAGTCATTAGTGTTTTTTGTCCTTCCTGTTGGTGTTGCTAGTCCGGGAATTGTGTAATTGCGGCTGACGGGGTTCAAGGCCCTACAAGGCATGTTAAGGTTAATAGGTTGGGACTTGTACTGGGTACAGTTCCTCCTGATTTGGTACTTTTATAGTAGATTTGGTGTACCTGACCCTGTCTCTGAGTTGATGGAGTGTGGCTGGAGGCCTACTTTATGGGTCAAAGATACGTTTTTGTTGCCTACAAGGACCTTGAGAATCCAGTTTACATTCAGTCTGTTGTTGGTTACTGTTGTATATTTTGGATTTTTAATATTGGTTATTTATGTTTTGTTAAATAAAATGGCTGCTGTGGCCAATAAATTCTAGTTGGTGTCAGTGTGTTTTATTTGGTGGCAAGGTCAGGTGGTGGGGTGGCCAGGCAGCTTGGGACTTGTGGATCTGCAACATTATTTCCCAAAAAGCACTTATGTTTCTGTCTCTGACAATTTGGTACTTTTAGCTTTCATCACATATCTATCAGGACTTTCGATGAACTGTTTTGTCCTTTGTGGAATATTTTAGTAGCTGCTTGTCTTCAGTTGTCTAAACACGCTTTTTTAAATTAGCAACTAGCAAAATGATGCATGGAATGTACATGTGTAAAACCGATACAAGCACCTTTTTTTTTTTTTTCGGTATTTGACATTTTCCTTCCAGTGTAGTTGTAATGTAAATCAAGCCTAAACCGATTTTTATTTTCTGTATCGCTTTTCTGACTAGCAAACTCCTGCAAACCTGTATCAGTTACCTCCCGCTTTACGTAATGCAAACAGACAGTGAGAGTGTAGAGGAAAGAGCCACTGTAGGTACCAGCTGCTTTCTGTAATTAGAGAGATATATTTAGCTTGTGTTCCCAGAGCATCAAGCTAAGTCCTACGCACATCACAAGGAGGGAGGGAAGAGGGATGTGATACACAAGACAGAGCCATGCACCTCCTCTTTGTGCTGTTTGAATAGTGGAACCTACTTTAACCCCTTTCTTGCCAGTGCCATCAGACTATTAGCAGTGACACGGTTACACAAGTGATTTTTGCTGCTAAAGTATGTCATCTGTTTCAAAGGAAATAATTTGATCACCAAAGATTCAGTTATGCTATTATATTACATAAAGAAAAATACCTCTTAGTATTCATTACAGACATTTCTATAGTGCCAATAATTTACGCAGCACTTTCCATTCACATCAGTCCCTGCCCACAAGGAGCTTACATTCTAATGTCCCAAGCTCTCATGCATACATATACTAGGGCCAATTTAGACAGAAGCCAGTTAACCTTCCAGCATGTCTTTGGATTATGGGAGAAAATCAGAGTACCCGGAATAAATCCGCACAGGGAGAACATGCAAACTCCATGCAGGTAGTGTCCTAGTTGGAAGTCGAGCTGAAGAACTGTAATGCTGCAAGGCAACAGTGCTAACCACTAAGCTGCCCTACTGTTCTTTTAATACGATTACTTACAATAAAGCTGTCCTTCCTAGAAAACACCAAGGCCTGAGGAACAACTACAGTTGTCATTGAGAAGCCAGACTTGTAAAGGACATGATTATGTCAGTAAATGCTTGTTACATATATGGGGTAAATCTTGCTAGTGGAAAGATGTTACATTTGGGTATCTCTTTATTCCTCCTTGTTGTCTTTAAGAAACTATAGATGTATTGCGATTGCTGTCAACAAATCCACTAAAGGTTAATGGAAGATTAGCCCATGTAAGGGAGAGAGGTATTCTGCTTTGCTCTGCCATTATGCTTAAGGCTTGCAATCATGGCATAAGGTGTTCTTGTGCATGAAAAGAGCTTGCAAGGATAAGTACGTATGTTGCCTACAACACCTAGAATCTGCCATCAATAGAAACATTGTTTTTATTTTAGCCCCACTTTGTATGGACTTTTAGACAAATTGTGGTACAGCGGCGCATTTTATGATATAACGAGGGCCAAACTGGACTTTCATAGGGGGATTATGGAGGTGTTTAAAAAACCATCAGTTTGAATATACTTCCAAACCCACATGGCTGAGCCCACCAGGAAACTGTCATCTGTAACGGTCAATCACTTGCGGCCGAGGCATCATCTTTCAGAAAGGGCACCCAAACTGTGGGACATAATAGAAGTATAAGCGCAGCTAATAGGAATGAAAACTGCGGGTACACTGTGCTGAGCATGCCGTTCAGAAAAACTGCACCGCATCAGTGTGAAAGTGCCCTTACATGCCACTTGTATATGTGCAGATGCGGGGCGGGGAATGCCTCAGTTGCAAATGATTGTCCGATTAGAGGTGACAGCTTCCCGGTGGGCTCAGCCACGTGGGTTCAGTGCATCAGTGTGTCAATGGTTTTTTGGTTGCTGCAAAGCGGCTTCTAACCTGTTACAAAGCGGACAAGTGCCTTGAATGAATTGTAGATTATGAAAAGTGATAAAAGGATCAGGGGCAGACTGACCATTCGGGTACTCGGGCACTGCCCGAGGGCCCAGGGTCAGTAGGGGGCCCCATGAGATGCCACTGGTACCTTTCATAAGCTTATTTGGGTGTAGTTTAAGTGTGGGCAAGGACACAGGAGCCCCATGATCCCCTATTGCCCAGGGGCCCATAAGTTGTCAGTCCGCCCCTGAAAAGGATTTATGATGCCATTTTAGATACAAATAGAGCTTAGCTTTATTTCTAGGACAAATACAGGTAAAGCTTAGCTGAAAATGTACAGTCGGTATACTACGTACATATGATTTTTCATGTTTAATTTGTCACATGATATAGATTTTTAATTTCAGTTGTTTGAACTGTGGTTCTGAAAGGCCACGTATTAATACATAGGCAAAGCTTTATGCCTTCCTATCAGCTGAACAAGCCCTGTACTTATTCCCTATCCAAAGAAATCTTTAATCAAGGTAATGACAGAGCTGTTTAACAGTGTGTTTGGATTTGTTCATCTGAATATTGAATTTAATCGATTTAATAGTATATCTTCCAAGTAGTCTAATGTGCAGGCACAAACTTAATTTAAATTGATCTTGAAAGCTAGTCTTTTTTTTCTGGAGCCCTGGTGAAATTGAATTTGTTTTCTTATCTTGGCACAAATTGATTTAAAATGTGCATTTTTAGCGTGAGATGAGAAAATGAATGAAAACTCTTGGATCATATTGCAGGGTGTAAAGTGTTGCACATTAACTGACAGAAAAGATAATCTCTGCATCCAGGCACTAAACTTTATTTCAGTGATCACATGATGGGGAACTCAATATGGTCCAACAAGTAATTGGTGATTATCTTTTATATATATATATATATATATATATATTTTGGATTTTGATCCCTGTCAATCTGTTGCTTACATTATTTTGGAGGACTGGAGTCTAACATTTGAGAACCTTGATAACTCTCTACATTGGATTTCACCAGTAGGTGGTTCTCCAAGTCAAACTGTCTGTCCCAAGAAAAGATGGGAGCCATGCAAAAAGGGAGCCCTTATGTTGCTGTATAGTGGGGAGTGGAGTAAACCGTATTTTCAGTATTCATGGAGATCTTCTATTAAGGTCCAAACAAGCATATGACAGTGTGTAAATTATTATTATGCTATAGCCCACTATCGTGACTGTATGCTTTGTACAAAACGAGCAAAAATAGAACATACATACCTACAATGTATTTTTTTGAATCCCTCAATGTATGTGTTTTATAACAGATGTATGATCCTTCATCTGTTCCTTAATACAAAACCCAGACTTGTCATTGGTTTGAATGTACAGGCTTGTCCTTCAGAGCATGCATTTTTAGCAGGTAGATTATTTTCCCTGCCAAAAGCAGGATTTTCCTGATATGTAGGGAGCAACATTCCATGACTTATCTTGTGCACTTTACTTCTCTTTCAGGAGCCTGGTGAGGAGCCTCTGTCACTGGACTTCCCCGAAATCGATCTCTCCCAGTTGGATGCTAGTGATTTTGACACTAACAGCTGCTTTAATGAGTTGCAGTGGTGTAACGATCAGTCAGAAAACGAGTCCAATCTGTACAGCACTGACGACTCCGAGCTTTTTCAGGTGACTACAGTCTTTGCATCCTACTGCTTTCATTCCTCATACTTTATATATACTGAAAGTTTTTTGTGTCTGATGATATCACTGGAGATTCATTTCAGCAAATTTTGATGTTCATTGATAAAATGCAATGCAGAAGTGACGAAGTAATTGCAACCAATCTGGTTCCCACTATATTTCACCTGTTGCAAGACCAGAAATGACCCGATTGGCTATGTTAGACAACATCCCTGGATTCCTTTTGCTTTGTTTTTTATGTATAGCAAAGGAAATCATAATACAGATGTGGCTAACAATTTTAGTGGTCCACAACATCCAACAGATAAAAAATGAAGTGACATTTCAGGTGCAAGCTTACATAACTACATTTATCATGTGCAACCAGCTTTTTCTTTGAAGTCTTGAATAAAAATTGATAGGTAGCATTTGGTCATCCTTCTAACAGAACTGCAGATGGACATTATTTGTGAATTATGAAGGTTTCCAATCTCCTTCCTAAGGGACTTGCAATCTTGGAGTGTTCCACTTTCAGCTCTGGTTAGAACTAAAAGGAGCTTGGATTTGCCAGTTCAGAAGGAGGCACATTTATTCGTTTGCTTTCCAATTGATTTTTCCTCTTGTATCTTTATTATGCCTGGTGTCTATAAAAGTTTTTTTCTACCTAGAGACAGTGGAGCTCATTTGTCAGCTAAGATAGAGGTTCTCCGGGGATCTGCTGAACACAGAGGACAGGATGTTTGGGATTTTGTGTTTAGACGCCTCCATTGCCTCAGATTGAAGCAAAGTCTTTGAGAGGACTAAAGGGATTTGGAAGCTAGGTTACCAGCAGGTTATAGCAAACGCACGTTCCAGCACCTGATAAAAGCTCAGATGTCGGAATGATTGGAAGAATGCCTTTCCACTTCATGGAATAATCAATCTGTTCCATCCCAAAATTCCACTAAACCTAAAGTCAACCCTAGTCTACTAATTCGCTAGGGCACGAGGAGACATAAATGTGAAGGAGTATGGAAGTAAAAATAAAATCAAACTGCCCGTCTCTGTTTACAGGGGTTATAAGTGACAGTTTGCCTTTATTTAATACCAAGATGGTCCTTTGTTATCTGCAGCCCATAACATATAAACCTTTTGGTGCTTTTTAGACTTTTGTTTTTACAAACCATTTTACAGCCAAAGCTGAACTCCAGGCCAAAAGCTAAATACATTGTTGAAATACATATAAGGGAGCCATTTTACCTGCCAATGGATTTGTATTTTTGTCCGGCCAGTTCCCAGTTCTGAGATTTATACTGTACGTCTGTGCCACACCACACAGTCCTACCTAGTGGGGTAGGAGACCTGGTGTACTATTCAGTACACTTTTAGGTCTGCTCCTCACCTCCAGACTTTGATTGGACAGTGAAAAGAGAAGTAGCAGATTGATGAGCTCTTCTGTCTGTCACTCTACTCTGTTCTCTCCTCCTATCAGCATGCTCCTTGCAATGCTGCATAACATATTGGTTCCATTTGTTGCTTCTCCCTTTCCCAGTCTGAAATATCCTTCAGATAGGCATTTAACAAGCTGATACCAAGTCATATTCAGGTGTTTAAACTGAGTCCATGCAAAAACATACATTTAAAATGTGTTTATAGCCAAAATAGTTTTAATGTATCATGTATGGAAGTGTACAGAAGGTTATTTTTTGCTGTCTGTGCTCCCTTTCAATTCACAGTCCCAAAAATGCAACAGGAAATTAGAGAAAGTCTCCCAAAGTGAGAGAAATATATCTTAAAAAGTGGTACCCAGAGTAAGTGCCCCTACTGGACAAGTTCCCCTTACCCTTGTTCTGAAGACACTTTATTTCTAGGTGGCAATGGTCACCAGTACAGAGGGGTAAATTTCTCCAATGGGGATATGACAGAGGGTCCATCCCTTCCACATTCTACCAAAAAAAATAAAGAAAAAATGATTTTGACTAGAGATATACTTTATTATATATTTTTATATCTGTCTAGAGTTTAGTGTTATAACTGTAATATAGATTTCAGCTAACTAAGCACTTCAAAATTGCTGGTTGCAATCTCCCAACTACTACTTGTTGACTCAGCATTGAGCCCTGTTTCACACCAGTGCGGCTTTGAAAGTGTGCTACTTCAGTGCGGTTTCAAAGCCACAGATCCGTGAGATTTTGAAGTGCAATTTCATTGTGGCTTCCGACTTCATTTAACAGAAGTCAATGCAAGTCACAAAAAGTAGTGCAGGAGCCTACTTCAAAGTCATTGTTCCATAGCCGCAAATAGGCTGCGATTTGACCTTTGATTTTTTTTTTTTTAACAACAACGGAGTGCTTTATTGACCAAACAGACAATACAACATTGGTACAAAAACAATATGATGCGATACAAAACACAATCCACAGCAGAATGAAATAGAAAAAAACAATAAATAGACACCGTTCATACATATATTGCAACACCGAAAAGGATATAACAAATTTGATTATGATGTCACACATGAGCAGTGTATAGAACACATACAACAACCAAAAGCAATGGCAAATCCCCAAAAAAGGAGAGAAAGAAAAGGAAAGAGAAAGGGGAGGGGGGAGTGGAAGAGGAAAAAAAAGGGGGGGAAAGGAGGGGGGGGGAAATTGGGGACACAGAGGAAGAGGAGAAAAGGCACTACCCATCTAACCATGGAGCCTACACCTTGTCATACTTCCAAGGGCAACCCCGATTAATGTACGCTGTCTGTACATGGGTAAATCAGTATCCACCCGTGCCTCCCAAGCCAATAACTCCGGAGGGGCCGGGGTAGTCCACTTGATCAAGATCTCTTTTTTAGCATAAAAACATAAGGTAAGATATGAGAAGCTTCGCGTGATGGGACCGCCGTTCGTCCTCATGAATGCCCAATAGGGCCAACTCTGGCGAGAGAGGCAATGTCAAGTGCAACCTGAGGTTAATCTCAGCAAAAATCTCAGACCAATAGGCCAAAATTATGGGGCATGACCAAAACATGAAAAAAGGACCCTGGCTGCACACGACAACGGGGACAAACAGGGTCTTGGGCAGGGTAAATTGCGTGAAGCCTCTGATGGGTATAAGACTACAGTAGAGTGTGAACCCCTTGGGATTTACTATTAAGGAATTGCTGACTTTATCTCTTGAAGAGATGACCAACTTAGGATGTTGCTCCTTTCCAGACAGCCCAGGGAGGAAAAAGTATCTGTCCAAGGTCGGAATAACCTCAATCCGCCAGTGGTCCCACACACACTGAAGCTTAGGAATTGAACATGAAGAACACGCCCTTAAGGTATAGAGCCAAAAGAGGCTTTGCCAAATCCAGCCATTGTTTTGTTGAAGATACCAGTCCCATCAACCTGGACAGTCTAGAGGAGGGTTTTCCTGCAGGCATTCATTTTCCCAACAATTGCAGCGTGTGATTCCGCCAGTTGGATGAGGTTTTTGGTTGGTGTGCCTAAAAAAACCATATGAGCCAGCGGGAACATTCTAAAAGTAATGCTGAAATTCAGGAAAAAGTGGTAGAAGGGTCCCCTTATTGTGTGGCATAATATCAGCCAAGGGACATTCGCAGCATTTTTGCTCTTGCAATTGTCAAAGAGTATCGCTAAACTTTCTCCATTTGGACAGTCTGTGAACATCAAGGGAGATACTTTTGAATATCATGTTGAATCTCATTTCAAGGATCCAGAAACATCCAGTGTTTCTTTGTCCAAAATCACTTGCTCATGTTTGTGTGAATTTTTATTTCTGTTAACTGGCACTTTTTATAACTCCCTGTAATAGCATGATATCCTGTATACCTAAACTACTACGACTAAAATATATTACGTAAAAGGGGTTCACATATTTTTCTTGCAACTGTATTAAGGAATATACTATATACCAACTTAGGACTAGACAGTATAAGGTCGGAATATAAATCCGCCAGTGAAAAGCTTATAGATTTGAAGAACACCCCATATAGAGCCAAAAGAGGCTTCGCACAGCCAGATACCAGTCCCTCACACAGTAGAGGAGGGGAGGCATTTTTCAGTTGGAGTAAAAAAACAAAATGCATTTACAAGCAATCTTTCCAAAACTAATGTGAAAAAGACAAGGTTTTAGTTTGGATATTAAGACCTTATTGTATACAAGATGGATGATGCTACTGAAGACAGCATTATATTACAGAAATCACTTTGGCCTTATTTCATTTATCTTTTGAAAGTGTTCCTCCAAAATCCATAGATTAATTATCAGACAATAATGTTGTTTTACACGAATAATTGATTTTTGTTAAGTCCTTAGCTATTATGTATAGATTCAGTTTATCGACTGATTCACCTTTTTCTTTTTTCAGATCATATATGGTGACAATGAGGCCTTGCTGGAAGCCCTCACCCAGACATTGGATGATATACAGGAAGACGAGATCAGCTTGTCAGCCTTCATATCCTCTGGAGATGGGGACTTCTGCCCCGCACCCGCCCTCCTGCCAAAACCCTGCCTCCCATCTGAGTCCTTTAAGGGTCTAGAAACTGAAGATGAGCTGTCTATAGTAAGAACCACTTCCTTCTGTTTAAAGTGGAAATGGATGAGGCCCTGAATAGCCGCCTGCATGGGTATGATAGGCAAAAAAGGTCTGAATTTTTTCATTTAAGGCTTTAAAAAATATACAAAACTCATCCATATGTTGTATGTCTATGTATTTATTAGATTCAAATAAATGTTTTCTTCCCTATTATAAAGGACCCAGCATAGGATTTTCTCATTTGGAATATACTATTCCAGGTGATATGATGCAGTTTCCCAGAGGGCAAGCTGCATTTGGCCATTTTAATGATTTTGTACTTGAGGATGGGAGGGTGCTGTTTCAAAGTGCTACATTTTGTAGTTCAGAAGGGTAGTATAATCATGGTGGGCTTTTAATAAATATCTCAGTGTCCTGCTTATTAGAAAGGCTGATCCAATTTTGTCACTTCTTCAATCTATATTGTGTTTTTAAAGAAACAGATACTCGTGTCTGTGTTCTAACTAATATTTTTATTTGTTTAGCAAAGCTAGGGCTTGTGTAGGCGAAATGCAGTAAAATGCTATGTTTGACCTGCTTTGCCTGCATCTGAATACGATTTGTTGCTTCCAGACAACATGCAAAACAGGGCAGCCTCAAAACTGCCATCCACTCTATACTGCTAAATGTTATCAAATGCACCCTAAAGGTAGCATTTAAACCCAAATGTAAAATACACTGCCCATACCCTAGCTACAGTCCATGTGTGCCAGTCATATGATATGTTTTGAACTTTAATTGGCCAATTGAGAATTAAAATATTTTTCATTGGCTGAAAAGCATAATTCAGTATTACCTGCATCATCAAGGCAGACCTCCAATCACCCCCTAATTTTTTTTAGTGGTACACATTCAGTGGTCTGAATGTTGAAATAAGTTATTGTTATTGGTTCATTTTAATTTGTGAAATCTCTTTGTCCCCCATCTTGCCCCAGCCATAAATTATCACTTCTTTTGTTGCCTGAGGAAGTTTCTCCATTCTCCTGCTTCAGTTTCTTAACGTGTAAGCCTAAAGATGAACCCCAGGCAGAAATAAAATATTAAAAAAAAAAAAACACCAGTGGATAAAGTTTTTTTGTTTTTAGAAATCATTAAGTGAATTTAAATGCAGCATGTACAACTATCTACGTTTCACTTCTTTAGCTTCTTGTAGTCTCCTGTATAGCAACATTCAGATTTGGAAAGGCTGTACTTGGGGCCGATCAAATTTGCTGAGAAGGAACATGCTGAGAGATGGAATTCGGTTTTAATGAAAAATCCAACAATAAATATGATACAGCCCCATAGTGTCATGGCAGGTGGATACAGATGGGATTTTAAATACAATAATTTCTATACTACGTCCCCAAGAGCAGCAGAATGTGGTGATTGAGCTTACCAGCATCAGTTCATAGGGAAAAATTTAGATACGGTGTGACTAACTTGAGGTATATATTCACCTATTGGTATATGTTCACCATGTTAAGATATATATGTTTGCCCTGTTGAGGTAAATGTTTCACCTCAGCGTTTCTGCTACTAATGGCTAAGTTGAGGGTGGCAAGGAGAACCTTGCTCAACAAGGTCATGTTGACCAAGCTGGTCATTTCACCTATACATAATGAACCTTTTTACATGTAAAGTCCACGTTGAACATTCAGTCTACTTAAAATGTGCTTGAGCAAGTGGCAAAATGTACTCATTTAAAGTGTTACTAAACCCAGGACCCTGCATTCATTATATCTGCTCTCCCACAATACACACAACATGGAAATGAAATTATTTTAGTAAATAAAAACTGCTAAATACCTTTTCTCATCAGCAATATATAGCAGTCTTGTGACTTCTATCAGTGTTCCAGCTGAGCACTGGTTAAAAATTGTAGGAGGAGTTTTCATTCTCCCCTGATTGTCCTATGAGGCTGCAGGACCCCTGACCTCTGTCTAGACAGTGCTGGTTGGCCCTGTGCTGATCACATGCACTTTACCAAGAAAACAAAAACTCTAGCAATACACACCAAACTGAGCATGTGCAACTTGCCCTCAAGGCTCTTTGCTATCCACAGATAGATTGGGGACAGTAGAAGAAAGGGAGGATCAGAGAAGTCGGGATCAATCAACTTTTTTACACAATGAAGAGGATTAACCCCTTAGGTTCCACAGAGTATAACAAGCATGCTTTACTGCATGTACAGACTGATTTTACTGTTGTAGGTTTAGTAACACTTTAATGTTTGCATTGATATAGCTTCAATACTACTGCTATGATCAGTACAGTCTAACCAATCATTTGGATCACTTGATGTAGCTCAAATCCTACATATGTGCTTACTGGCCGACTTATTGTCCTAATTCTCAAATAACCTATTTACTGCCTAATGCACATCACAGTGAATAAAAGCAAGTTTCTGAAAGTCAGAAGGAAATGCTAAAATTTCAGGACCCTGTAATAGTCTAATTACATGGAAATTAGATAACTGACGTGCTATTTTTGGAAAAATAAATTGATTAGAAAACATATTCATGAAAAGTGTTTTTAAGAAAAATCGCACCCTTCTGATGTGCTGTTAAATTACATTTACGCATGTAGCACATAAAAAGAATACAATTAGGTTTGTCAGTGGTGCATGCATTTGTTGTAACACACTTGATACACAGCCAGATGAGCAAAAGGGATCATTTATCAACAACTTCCCAATGACATGTGTGCCTAATGGATGCTATTCTGTCTATTTCAGATTGCATCTGGTTCAGCTCTAAGGGTTGTTTGAACTTCAATAATTGCCTGTTCTCGCACAAAAAAGTCTGTTCTGCTCCACAGGGTCACTATGTGTGTGGATGGCTTTCTGTTGCCATTACTAATTTAGGTGCACGCATGCTTGTTAGGGTCTGTGAAAAATTGTTAGGTTTTTACAGCTCATGTGATATGTCTCACATGTATATCTGAAATGGGTGGGGATTACTTTGTACACTTAAAGGGGTTTACTACTTTTTACAAATTGCAGGACAAACTAAAAAAACTGTAGTGTGTCTCTGCCATATATACATTGTGCATGGAAATGCACCTCAGCTCCTACTTTCCTTTTGTGGAATGACTCCCCGTGTGTTTTTGTGGACTAAAATTGCAAAACCTGATGTCAGTCCTGTCCAGTTGTCTGTTGTTAAAACTGCTAAATTTTGCTCATTCTCCTCTTCTCCAGAGCATAGACACTAATTGTTTTGTAGTGCAAACATGCACTGTGTGATAATGACATTATCAGTAGATATTTTTGCACAGATTTGGCAAAAATGGTATTTTAACAGACCAAAATAGAAATTTATTTCTGGGTTTATATGCACTTAAAAGAATGTGCACATTTTCCCAGTGCCTGCATCCTTTTTAAAAAAGGATGCAGGCAACTAAAAAAAGGGAAAACATAAGACATATGCAGGCTATTAAATCTGTCCCTACATGTTGCGTCTTGGCATGGAGTAACTATAGATTTAATTGCCTGCAGTAATCTACTGCATGCACTCACTATTGTTTCATATAACTATATGGCAAAAATCTAATTTTGGACATGCCACTGTGCAAAGCGAATACTAAAATTGTGTGCCTTATAAAGGAACAAGATAAAACAATAAAGCTTGTATTGTTAAGTGGTTTTAAACCCTTACCTATACCCAGCGAAGTGACAGGCCTCAAGTGCTACAAAGAAATTAAACAAATTCTCCTACATAAGTTGTAGCTATCTATCCACAGTCTTCTCTTCTCTACATCTGTTCATAGTCCAGAAGTTATACAGCTTGTCTGAGCTTCCAGAAAGCAGGGGGCGGAGAGCTGAAGTTACACTCTGCAGAGCTCAGTGTTGAGATCTCTCAGAGCTGATTGGAGGGAAGAGACACACCCCCTCCACACAGCACACAGGAACAGAGATGAGGCTGTCAATCAGCTGGAGGTCCTTCCCTGTCACTTTTTTTTTTGTTTACAAATGTTTTTATTTATTAAGAAATAGGCTGCAAAAACAGCTTAACAGAATAAGGTATAATATTCAACAGAAAAAAAGGCACATCTGTAATATTCATTCTAATAAGGTACAGTTATGCAGAACATACATGTTAAGTACTTGAGCAAGGTAGGCTGAAAAGTAGGCAGAACAATAAGGCCACCAACAGAAAGATACCATCACTTAAATCATGAATATTCATTGGTCAGACAATAAATGTCTGAAATTTCCAAACACCTGTCACCTTTTTTCTCTTGGTGTCAGAAAACTTGTCAGAAATGCTGGTGGCAGAGGAATGAAGCAGCAGAGGGAAATGATACTTAGTGCTCTGGATAGGGACAAGTACACAGTATAGAGAGATACCTTTTGTTGAGGTTTACAGCCACTTTAATTATTTAGCTGCCTCCCTTTACAATGACAATTATTTCAAAGCCCCATGTGCAGCCTTCTATGCCATAGATTATAAGGGAAAGCTTGCCTCTTTTAATCTGTGGAACAGAGATAGACATACACCATACCCTAATGGCCTGGCTCTCTGAAAATTAGAGCTAGCGAAGGCCACAGCTTGCAAACTAATATCTGTGGAGAGGCATGTAGTAGTGTTGGAAGTAGACCAGTTGGAAATAACGTATTGGCCAAAAACTAGAGCTTCTGTTCAACTTTTTTATGGAAGTCTTATATGGATACTTGTACAATATTAGCAATGGGTAACATTGGAGAAAAAAAATAAAGGGTCTCCTCTTTACTGACTGAAGAGTCTGGTTGCTGTAGGCAACAACTGATCTGCCTTCATACTGTACTACAGAAATTAAATTGAGAATCTGCTTGCTGTAAGCAACAAGAACAGTTGTTCCTTCAGACATTTAATGGACAGCAGTTGTTCGATGTGGTCGAGAATTTTCCAACTTGATTCAAAGACAAACGTTCAACAGTGTGCAAATTCTGTTTGTAACGTTCTAGAGGAAGGCATTAAAATCTATAATTCGAGAGGAAGGGATTTATCACTTTCTTTTTTTAATATGAAAGAACACTTTTAAATAACCAAAAGACTTGAAAACATAACATATAAAACTTTTGCTTTATACAACTAAAACTGCATTGATCACTAAGTTGGACGATCTAGAAAGGGGTCGTTTTTTCAGGATGCTGTGTGTTTGTGTATTTTCAGATATATTTATATGTTAAGGGTTTGCAATGTATGGTCTCTGATGTGTCTTCACTTTGTTTTGCAGCTCAAGAAGTTGCTTCTTTCTCCAGCACAGACGCCCATCGGCTCTGACGCTCACAATGACAGCAGCTACAAGCAAACAGGGATCACAAAACTTCGTCCTCACCGGCAGTGTCTGAAGGTACACTCAGAGGCTTTGTTCTTAACTTTTGTGCTAGATAAGGAAAAGCAAATATTAAGGCAATATCTGTGATGGTGTCGGCAACATACCTTTATCATTCTCAGCTATTGGGGATGTCTCTGAAGTTATCGTCACACTGAAAGATGTTTACTTTACTGATTTACTGATTGAAAGAGCAATATCTGTATATATACACTATATTGCCAAAAGTATTGGGACACGTATTGTTACGTACATGAACTTTAATGGGTCCCAGTCTTAGTCCATAGGGTTCAATATTGAGTTGGCCCACCCTTTGCAGCTATAACAGCTTCAACTCTTCTGGGAAGGCTGTCCACAAGGTTTAGTAGTGTGTCTATGGGAATGTTTGACCATTCTTCCAGAAGCGCATTTGTGAGGTCATGCACTGATGTCGGATGAGAAGGCCTGGCTCGCAGTGTCTGCTCTAATTCATCCCAAAGGTGTCCTATCAGGTTGAGGTGCAGGCCAGTCAAGTTACTCCACCCCAAAACTTGCTCATCCATGTGTTTATGGACCTTGCTTTGTGCAGTGGTGCGCAGTCATGTTGGAACAGGAAGGGGCCATCCCCAATCTGTTCCCACAAAGTTGGGAGCATGAAATTGTCCAATAAGTCTTGGTATGCTGACACCTTCAGAGTTCCCTTCACTGGAACTAACGGGCCAAGCCCAACCCCTGAAAAACAACCCCACACCATAATCCTCCCTCCACCCAACTTTACACTTGACACAGTGCAGTCAGGCAAGTACCGTTCTCCTGGCAACCGCCAAACCCAGACACATCCATCAGATTGCCAGACAGAGAAGCGTGATTCACCACTCCAGAGAACATGTCTCCACTGCTCTAGAGTCCAGTGGCGGCATGCTTTACACCACTGCTTCTGTCACTTTGTATTGCACTTGGTGATGGAAGGCTTGGATGCAGCTGCTCAGCCATGGAAACCCATACCAAGAAGCTCTCTACGCACTGTTGTTGTGTTATTCTGAAAGCCATACGAAGTTTGGAGGTCTTTAGCTATTGACTATGCAGACAGTTGGCGACTTCTGCACACTGCGCTTCAGCTTGCGCTGACCCCGCTCTCATTTTACGTGGCCTACCACTTCGCGGCTGAGTTGCTGTTGTTCCAGTTGCTTCCACTTTGTTATAATACCACTAACAGTTGACTGTGGAATATTTAGTAGCAAGGAAATTTTTCACGGATGGACTTATTGCACAGGTGCTAATCTATCGCGGTACCACACTTGAATTCACTGAGCTCCTGAGAGCGACCCATTCTTTCACAAATGTTTGTAGAAGCAGTCTGCATGCCTAGGTGCTTGAATTTATACACCTGTGGCCATGGATGTAATTGGAACACCTGAATCCAATGATTTGGAGGGGTGTCCCAATACTTTTGGCAATATAGTGTATGTTATTTATTAGTATGCTCAAGCCAAAAAATTGTTTGTATTGAGTATAGCATAAAATAGGAGAGATTTTTTTTATGCTTACTTGCTGCCCCCCCCCTTTCTTCCCATTGGGAGGTTCCCCCTCATTTCTTGCATGGCCACCAGGAAAAGAGCTGAGCAAAATGTAAATGTAAGCTAGTTAATACTAAGGGTAATTTAGGATTAAAAGAGACGTATGGGTTTGTAAAAAAAAATAGACATTTATACTCGTCTAGGTGGATGCAGCATCAATCTGATGCTGCATCTGTCCCCCGCCAGTGCTAAGGCTGAGAACTGCTGATTGCTCAGTTCTCAGCCTTCAGTGAGCAGAGAACCTGCAACTTTCAGTCACCTGCTCTCTGCTCTGCCTCTTCTGTGCTCACTGCAGCGCCGGGCTGTTGAGGGGGTGAGAACGGCTGGCTTAGGTTTTCAACGGCTCGCTGGGAGGTTGAGCCAGTCGCCGGTCAAGGCATTTGGGTGGACCAGGGCCATTATGGTTGGGATCCTTTCAGAGCCTGGACCAGCCCTGTGACTTAAGCCAGCAGCAGTCTTTAGCTTGCTGTCTGCTAAAAAATGGGTCACAGTAATGCAGAACGAACTGCACTTCTGTGATCCTCAGGAGAATTACTCCCAAAAAGCTTTGGCTATACTTCTCCATTAAATAATGATAATGATGTTCTGTTTGTCATGGCTATATAAACTTCCTAATTGCTTTTGGCCTTATTCTGACAATCATAGTCTGGCCATTTGTGAGCAGATCTCCAGCTCCCCTTTCAAAATGTTTTGGATATTAGGTTCCTTTTTTTAAGTATTTTGCCTATCTGATTATGTGTTTTGGTATAATGACCATCTTGCAGGTGGAGAGTCCAGTAGAAAGACAGACTGGGGTTCCGCAGACACATGGCAGAGGCTGTACTGAACTACAGAGGCATTTGGTGTCACCTGCAAGTGACCCTCCATCTTCAGCCAAGGATGACAGCCATGACAGCAATAACGAAGCAGAAAGTGATTCAACTGAGGAGGATCATAGTGAGGATGAATCTGGGAGCTTCTCTCCATTACTAGCTTTACAGAGCCAGGAACCTCAGTTCACATGTGAACGGAGAAGCAAGCCGTGGTGGACCTTATTAGGTATATGCACACCTACTGCCTTCCACCTAAAAAACATCACAGTGATGAGAAACACCAGCATTATACTGGTCTCCTGAAGAGACCAAAGACTGACACCACCCCATCTGTGCATTCTTGTTCCAACCAAGTAATAAAAGTGAACTCTGCTAATGTCAAGGGGAAGTGCTATGCACAGGGCAAGTATAAAAGGACGAAACCAACAAGGACCGAGTCTTCAATCCTAAAAGTACTACTTGCAAAAGACATTTGTGGGGATGTAAGCAAGCCATATAGGTTGACACAACCAGTATATGCAGCTTTTACTGATTCTTCTTGTAGCCATGTAATGCAAGGAAAATCGGAGCAGGGGTTTGGAAGGGGCAACAAAGCAGAACTGGAGAAAACTCACAAGCCATTTCTGTCTCTCAGGAGAGAGAGCAGATACATGGAAGCAGACTCTGGAAAACCAGCACATAACAATTCTGAGCAGGTGACCAATAAATCTGCGTTCAAACAGGAATGCTCTGTTTATGCAGTCAGACGCTCCAGTAGACTAAATCCAGAGTTCTGGTTTAATGATGAAGTTTCTCCCCAGACATGCACAGCACATGCCCAGATTACCATGGAACAGCCTCTCTGCTTGACAACAGAGCCTTTTGTTGATGACGAGCAGGTGGCCGAAGTGGAAGTTGAAGAGTCTGTTGAAACCACTGGTCAAGTAGAAGGTGATCGAACTCTACAAGACATGCTCGAAATGGATGCCAGGGAAGCACACGGTGATATTGACAACCAAGACTACCACCCCTTAGGTAAGGCTTGCTGCATCATAGTTGGGGCATATGTGTGAAATTTGCCAAAGGATTAGTCTTCGCAAAAGAGCTATAAAAATTAAAATGCATCTTCCTTTGTCATGCAAGGTCCAATTTAAAGCAGGCTATATGTAAATCTTCTCTTACTGATTTATATGGGCAAACACTTTAGAATGTTATGAAGGTCCTTATTTAGAACTTACATAGGCGTTACAGATTTTTATGGGTTTTGCAGTTCAGTCATTTTGGTTTGATAATTACAAGAAATGTGGTTTAGCAAGTCTACAAGTTTTTAAACTGTATCTTTCAAACATGTAAAAATAAAAATCTACTTTCAGATTTAATGTTTTTGAAAGCAAATATACCTGACATCAAGGAAAATCCAAATGTATTGCTGGTCATTCTAAAGCAGACCTCCATCAAGACAACATTGTTAGTTTGCACCCTTCCAAGTATGTTTTTGGAATCAAGTTGAGGAACGAAAACCCTGTTTAAGCTCTAAACTGCAAACTATTCCTAATTTAGTGTAGAAACATTAGTGCAAGTATGCAGTATAACAGCATAAAACAGCAAATGGTATAACAGTCTCCTGTTCCCCGTACACTCACTACAGCGCTCGTGACTCAATTTTCTCCACAAACGTCAGCATCCAGCAAGCCCTACTAGTTTCGTCATGAATGACGTCTTCAAGGGGCCCCTTGAAGTCGGGGGTCGTCTTATACGCCGGTATACGGCATACTGACACTTTTTAGGGGGGCGGCGCGCGGTGCCGCCGCCCCCCCCCCCCTTCCAACGGAAGGGACACTAAGTACAGGGGTGGGCAGGGGCTGGTGTTTCTTACCTGGCTCCGGTCCCACGACGATCCGGTCCAGGAAGCGCGGCTGCTCCTTCAGTTCGGCCCCTGGATGTTCGCGCGGCTGCTCGGCTCCGCCTCCTCACCGGTGATTGGCCGCCAGAACTGTAGCTCAGGAAAGGCACACAGGCGGCCAATCACCGGCGAGGGGGCGGAGCCGAGCGGCCCCGTGAAAATCGAGTGCAGGAGCAGCAGGTAAGTGTGCCGTGTAGAGGTGCTGCTGCAACCACATATGCTGGCTGCAGCAGCACCATACTAAAACAGGGTCAGCAAGTGTCATTGGTGTCAGTGGGAGGAATAGTGCCCCATCATTGGTGTCACTGATACCAATGATGGAGCACTATTGCTCCCACTGACACCAATGATGGGGCACTATTCCTCCCACTGACACCAACGATGGGGCACTATTCCTCTCCCCCACTGACACCAACGATGGGGCACTATTCCCCCCCCCACTGACACCAATGATGGGGCACTATTCCACCCCCCACTGACACCAATGATGGGGCACTATTCCACCCCCCACTGACACCAATGATGGGACATCATTCCTCCCACTGACACCAATGTTGGGACACTATTCCTCCCACTGACACGAATGATGGGGCACTATTCCTGCCACTGATACCAATGATGGGGCACTATTCCTGCCACTGATACCAATGATGGGGCACTATTCCACCCTCCACTGACACCAATGATGGGGCACTATTCCACCCCCCACTGACACCAATGATGGGACACCATTCCTCCCACTGACACCAATGTTGGGGCACTATTCCTCCCTTTGACACCAATGATGGGGCACTATTCCCCCACTGATACTAATGATGGGGCACTATTCCTGCCACTGATACCAATGATGGGGCACTATTCCTCCCACTGATACCAATGATGGGGCACCTATTCCCCCCACTGATACTAATGATGGGGCACTATTCCTGCCACTAATACCAATGATGGGGCACTATTCCTGCCACTGATACCAATGATGGGCCACTATTCCTCCCACTGATACCAATGATGGGGCACCTATTCCCCCCACTGATACTAATGATGGGGCACTATTCCTGCCACTAATACCAATGATGGGACACTATTCCTGCCACTGACACCAATGATGGGGCACTATTCCTCCCTCTGATACCAATGATGGGGCACTATTCCTCCCACTGATACCAGTGATGGGGCACCTATTCCCCCCACTGATACTAATGATGGGGCACTATTTCTGCCACTGATACCAATGATGAGGCACCTATTCCCCCCACTGATACTAATGATGGGGCACTATTCCTGCCACTAATACCAATGATGGGGCACTATTCCTCCCACTGACACCGATGATGGGGCACTATTCCTCCCACTGGTGTGCATTGGAAGAGGGGTAGTCTTATACGGCGAGTATAGCCCAAACACTACATTTTAGCAGGAAAAGTAGGGGGTCGTCTTATACGCCCAGTCGTCTTATACGCCGGCAAATACGGTATATCTTTTGCACTAATGTTTCTACACTAAATTAGGAATAGTTTGTGGTTTTAGCGCATTCCTTTATTTAAGTTATAGCACTAAGAAATTTATTTGGTTTCTTTGAGGTGGAATTGCTGCTTTGGGGTATTAAGGGTGTGGCGCTTTTATTACACTTGTGATAAGCTCTAAACTGTTCTGGTTGGGCTTTACACAGGACTGAGGAGGCTCGGGCCATTACAGCGAATCTGTTGCTTTGCCTTTCATGGCCAATGTAATGTTTAGTCTAAAGAAATTCGGGGTTGGGGATGGATATTTCTGAAATCAATGCTTACTGTAAATAACAGGCCACTGGATGTATTGGAACACTAGTACCCCTGAAACCAAATTGTTTGCCCATCACTGTGATGGGGGGCCTAATTAGCCAGTATAAGCTACACATGTAGTGGTGGGCCTCATACACACTGGGCGTTTTAAAAATGCCAATAAAATATAAATAGATAGGCTCTACATTTGCCCAAACAATAAACTTCATATAGTGCAATAAGTACAAGGTTAGTACCACCTGAGGGTTAACTCAATTTTGGTCCATGCAAAAAATTTTAGCCTACAGCACCTGATGTTCCCAGGCAGTCTCCCATCCAGGTGCTAAAATTTTTTGAGTGTTGTAAGTGTCAATCACACTTAATTAGGGGCAGCTTCATTTAGAATAGAATAACACTGAGACAAGATTTGTTTAGGGTCACTACAATTGGCCCAGGTTTTGGGGGCCTTACACTATATAGAGTGATTAGTTATAGGGATTATTTGTATATACACATCCCTTCTATATTGTATTTTTTTATATATATATATATATATATATATATATATATATATATTGCCTACCTATTCTTTATTTCTATGTTTTAAAAATGCCGGTAGCATAAGCCGTATAAAGTCGTGTTAAAAATGCACGTTTTTTTTAGCATTTTTGCATTAGTATTTAGCTGCATTTTTCCACATTAGCGTTTTTTAGCACAAAAAAAAAATGTTTTCCTCAAAAACGCCAGTTTGCCACATTTTTCCTCATTTACCAGCATTAGAGCGTTTTTACAGTTATAATACTCCTCTTGAAGCCCACTAGTTCTAGGGGTTTTTTTCCAGCCAGAAAACGCACCTGCCAAAAAATGTTGCATGGACACATAGGATAAAATGCTGGGGAGTTTACCAGCTGTAGAAAAAAAACACAAGAAACCAAAAACAGCAGCTGTAAAAACGCCTAGTATGCATGAGGCCTGAAAGCTGGGCCCTGTTTGCATTACGCAATAGCCTGTATTTCTAGGGTTCCAGGGCACTATACAGGAGCCCTATGTGTACTTTTTAGGGTATCCATCTCTAGTCTGGGAATGCTGCGTACAAATCCTAATGAGAGTGGTACCTATAGCTCTAAACAAACGTTTAGCAAGCTTGCTGTATGCGAAGTAAATGCTTGCTGCACTTCAAACCAGCATTTACTAGCTGGATTTACCAAATACCCCTGTGTATAAGGCCCAATTGTTCCTTAATGCATCTTTAATAATACAGGACCAAAACTTTAAAGTGGCAAGCCAAATGTGCCTTTATTTATTTAAATCTGGGCAGTCCCTACTTCATCCAGTCATGGGACACTTAGATATATTTTTTTATGGGATCAGCAATACTGGCAGTTATTGGCTTTTAAAGGTTAAATACATTATTACATTTGTCCATGATGTGTCTATTTGTTTGCATGTTTGTATTCCTTACAATGCATTCCCTGCATACAGTGTGTGTATTTTAATGTTTTCTCTGGTTCACAGCACCATCCAGTGGATGAAGTAATTATTACAGACTTTAAAGTCAATTCACTATACAGTATCTCATATTTCATCACTATGTTTAGTTTGGGACAATTTTAAGTAAAACATTATTGCATTTAGAAAATATGTTTAATTATTGCTTGATGTCACATTATTATACAAATATGTATTCTTTAATTATTATTATTTTATAATTATTGTATTTCTTCTTATTGTATGAAAATGAAAGCTAGTTTATTTCCCCTGCTGTTCTATTTTAAAGTAAACCTAAAGCCCAAACTTTTTTTTAAGATTTGGATAGAGTGGATTAGAGAGATTAGAACCCCTGCTGTCTGTACCCCTGTTAGGGGGATTCACCCTTTCTATGACATGGGGGGCCCCAAAGGATTCCCTTAAATTGCTGTGATTTCCTCTCACTTCCTGTTGTAGCTATGGGACAGGAAGTGAAGGGAAATCTTCCCAGTGGGACACAGATGACATTGTACTGCTGTGAAAATAAGCATCTAAATGGCAAAAGTACTTCTGTTTGGCTGTTTGGGTAGCCAATCAGTATCATTGCTGTATAGCTCTTGCGTGAATGTACCCTGGACCAGAGCTGAGGGAGCCCATAATTTGTGAAAATGGTGGTTGTAGGAAGTGTTTTTTGATGTTTATATCAAAGCAGTAGAATGGGACAAGACTGGGTAAAACAAAACTGGGTAGATTTACTAAAAATGGTTCACTCAGAATCTGGTGCACCTTTGCATAGCAGCCAATCAGCTTCTAACCTCAGCTTGCTCAATTAAGCTTTGGCAATAAAACCTGGAAGCTGATTGGTTTCTATGCAGAAGTGCACTAGATATTGCACTCACCAGCTTTAGTAAATAAACCCCTTTGTGTCAATGGCATCAGTTTGACATCAACATGAGACACTTTTGAGAGAGTTTAAAATTCATAGACATGTGCATTGACCTGCTTTTAACCTGTTTCAAGCATATTTTGCATTTCAATTGACTTGCATAGGAATACAAAATGCTTCTGAAGAAATTGAAAGTCTATCAACACAGATCTTAAACTTTTTTTGCATGTAAACATATTGCATATATTTACATTCCTTAAAATATTGCTAGCTTGTCAGTGGCATTCATTGGCATTAATTGTTAAACCAACTTTAAATCCTCTAATCCTGTCTTTTTTATGCTTTCAGATGTCACCAGATGCTCTACAATCTCTTTGCCACAAACGTAAGTTTTTTAAACTAACTTATTGAAATCAAGGAATGTATTTTACAGAAAGCCAAAACTGTCTTATATAATTACAGTGTACATATGATTCAACTTTGTAAGGGCTCATGTACACGGGACGTTTGGAAAACACTTCTGAACGATGGAAACTGACTGCTGAAAAATGTAGGTTAAAAAAACGTCTGTTTAGCCGAGTTTGCATACCGCGTTTATGTGCGTTTATGAGCTTTTGCGTTTAGAAGCGTTTTTTAAAGATAACCTCAGGAGACTTTCCAAAATGCCCAGAATGCACTGAATAACATTAAAAAACTAACTATTTCAGACATTTTGAGAGAAATAAAGAGAGCAGAAGCAGAAAGAGCAGTATGTGTTGAGATTACCTGTCTTTTCTGGTTGTATTCACTATGGATCCCATCATGAGCATAATGCAGCACGTTCTACCATCTTTTTCTTCACACAAAACCTGGAACTGACTGCGTTGGTGTACCGGTCCATTTGAATACATGGAAAACGCTTTGCATGCATCTCTGATGATGAAAAAAGGCTCTGGACAGCATCTGGAACAGTTAAAAAACGCTTCTAAACGCAAAGGCTTATAAACACAGTTAGCCGCGTTTACAAGCGGTTGGCGTTTGAAACGCTGATAAAATCTACTCCTGAACGCAGGTTTGGTGCGTTCAAAAAAACGACAGTAAACTCAACTGTCTGTAAACGACTATGTGTACATGGACACATAGGAAAACATTAGGGAGAGTTCAGGGGCTGCTGAAAAAAATGCAGAAAAGCTCCTTAACGTCAGTTTATCAGTTGCAGTGTACATGAGCCCTAAGGTTCTCCACTTATAAAGCTACTTTCACATGGGTGATTTGCCATGGTACAAATGGCAACACTGGAATCTACCAATTCCTGCTGTTGTGTTTGACAGGTGTGAGCAGCTAAAAGTGGCCGCTGAGCCTGTACAATTTATTGATAGATTGTCTTTAGGTATATGATTTGTTTTTCCAGACTTACTAGGCAGTTTTGAACACAATTTGATGTTCATTATTAATATTATTAATTGTCACATTTTGCATTATGTATGTTATTTTGCAGGACATCTGCATTTGAGAAGAGAAACTTTGATCAAGGACTTTCTGTTGAGCTGTGTGGGACTGCAGGTATGGTATTCAAATATTACAGTTCAGTTCACTTATTAAATGATACAAATGATAACCCATGATTAGTTTTATGTATACAGCTAGAAGGGATAGTTGTCAAATACCCGCTCCCTTGCCAGTGCCAAAATCTTCGCTTTGACGTCTTCTGGGTGCCAGGCCGTCATAAGGGTTTAACAAGAATGATGTTCATTCATTCCAGTACCAAGGTGTGCCAAAAATGTACATTGAGCTTCACATGCACAACTTATTGTACATTCTAAAGAAAATTGTGAACATGCAGGCAAGTTTGTTTTATTGCAGTAGTATGTGTCTCCTGAAATAAAGTGTCCGCCTGCTCGCAACCTTTTATTTTACCGTGTTCGTTCTGCTTTTAAATAAACCTTTTTTGTTCAAGGATCTTTCAGTATCTGCCTGACACAAATTAATTTAATGACCTAGACTGCTTATATGAAAACCTCATCTTTCGTGCAAAAGTTAAAACCTAGCCTGCCCTCTCTTGCCCAGTCTGCAACATCTTATTGAACCATTATGGAGTTGCAAATTTTGTTCAGAAAGCCAAGATTTGCATATTGAAGAACTGGAGGTTTTGGGAGTTGCAGAGAGCTTGTGAAGCAAAAGAGAAATACATATGTCTACACTTCTGCTAAAGTAGCTGTAAACCCTAACTGAATGTTGTTTAATTTTCCGAAACAGTGTATCATGAACAATTGTTATTTTTTGTTAATAGAATACCTGATTTCTCCTTTTTTCTTTTCTTTTTATTCCTTTAATCATTTTGTATCGCACTGCTACTGATCTCTTGCAGTCACTTGTTGTCCACATTCATACACGCTGGTGATGCCTCCATAGCATTACTTAGAGAGGGTTTCCTGAAGCTGACAACTGTGGACTATGCTTCCATAATATGCATTGAAACAGCCACCTGTAGTCTCCAGTTCAAGCGTGATGAGACAGGACCACAATTTGGAGACTGGGGACAGAACACTATAATCATAAAATATGATGTGCCTGAATAGAGACCTTCAAGTGATATTAAACCCTCAGTTTTTTAAGCGCATTTGGCAGCGTAACTGTAATCACTTACAGAGTATGCAGCATCTTCATCTTTTAATCTTTGCCTACAGTGGGGAAAATAATTATTTGATCCCCTCAGATGTTGTAAGTTTGCTCACCAAAGAAATGAAAGGGCTATAATTTTTATCATAGGTGTATTTTAAATGATAGAGACAGAATATCAACCAAAAAATCCATAAAAAACACACGATACAAATGTTTTAAATTGAGTTGCAGTTCAGTGAGTAAAATAAGTATTTGATCCCCTACCAACCAACAATCATTCTGGCTCCCACAGTCTGGCTATGTGCTCATGTTGTACACAGATTAGTCCTGTCAATTTAAGAAGGTGCTTCTAACTACAACTTGTTATGTGTATAAAAGACACCTGTCCACAAAATCTCTTTTGCCCATTCAAACCTCATCACCATGGGCAAGCCCAAAGAGCTGTCATAGGCCATCAGGGACAAGATTGTAGACCTGCAAAAGGCTGAAATGGGCTATAAGACCATCAGCAAGAAACATAGTAAGAAGGAGACAGCTGTTATTCGCAAATGGAAGAAATTAAAAATAACCATCAATCGCCCTTGGCCTGGAGCTCTAATGCAAGATTTCGCCTCATGGGGTAAGGATGATCGTGAGAAAAGTGAGGGATCAGCCCAGAATACACAGGAGGAGATTGTGAACGATCTCAGTGTAATTGGGACCAGAGTCACCAAACAAATTATTAATAACACAATATGCCACCATGCATTGAAATCCTGCAGCACCCGCAAGGTCTCCCTCCTCAAGAAGGCACATTCTGAAGTTTGCCAATGAACATCTAAATGATTCAGAGAAGGATTGGGAGAAAGTGCTGTGGTCAGATGAGACCAAAATTGAGCTCTTTGGCATTAACTTAAAGAAAAATGCTGACTATGACTTTTAAGACATATGTTACCCTTAGTGGGCCAGCTGCCTCAAACTTGAGGTGTATGTATGTTCCACTGGAATGAATGGAGACAGCAACACAAATGCACGAGAGAAGCAGGGCCCAAGTGGGGGCTATACAGCGAAGGAATTACCAGAACTGGGGGCAGGTAAGTATTATCAGGGAAGGTATGGAGTATCAATAATGTTACGTGCACTGTTAAAGTCCCACTTAATATTTGTGATGCAAGAGACAATTATGCACTTTGTAAGTAAACTATGATGTCTTTTGATATGTAGGCATGTTAATTAGTCATGCACACATAATTGTATTGATGAATGCACTCACAGAAAGTCATGCTACGCATTTCGTAACTAGTGTTTTTTATCTTCCTATTTGAAGGTCTGACGCCCCCAACTACTCCTCCATACAAGCCTACAGAGGAAGATCTGTACAAACCTGAAATCAGTCAGGACACTGTAAATAATGATTCCTTGATTACCTCGTCTGTAAAAACGGGAGTGACTGAAAAACGTCTCCCTTCAAATAGAAGACTCTCAAAGAAACAGCCTGAAAGGACTGAATTGTTTGCACACTTAAGTAGAAGCGCATCCGTCCCTGATACCCCTCCACCACAAGGAATTAAGAGGCCATTTTCCCGGTCATTTGGAGACCATGATTATTGCCAGGTGAAGAAGTCAGAGCCAGCTTTCCAGAGAAAAGTGATTAAATCTGTGGACCTGCCATGCTATGATGACAGGAAGCACAAAGTGCCTCCAGTACTGGAAAGGAAAATGTCCTCTAATAAAGAGGACAACAAACTGCTGAAGGACCATGAAATTCGAGCAAGTCTCACCAAGCACTTTGGTTCTCCAGATACCACTCTAAAAGAAGAGGATAATGTTACATGTACCAGCCCTGAGTATGATTCAGCCTTTGAGGACAGTGAGAGTGAGTGCAATTCTCCAGAGGATGATGTGTTCTTTTCTCCTCTTCGAAAAAAGTCGTATTATCGTAGAAGCCCTCCATCCAAGCTGCAGAGCTATCCTCGAAGTCAGGCTACTGCTCAAATTATCCGCACACCAGATAACAGGAGGTCACACAGGTGTGATAATCACTATCTAATTTAACGCTTTATTTATCATACAAATGTTTCCTCAAGTAAAAATAATGAAAAAGATTTCAGTAATTTGCAATATATAAATAGGTTTATTAGCTCATTTACTTTTTCTTGTTGGATGCACTATTTACAATAAAAAGTAATACTTGTCTGGATTTGGACCTGTAGCTGTAAGTGATTTTTGATTGTTAACCTCTTTTCAATCATCTAATGCACATGTGCAACAGCAGCATGGGTGGGCCTTAAATATCACATGCTTCACATATGCAACCACCTGTCACAGACAGCTCCTGGTGGCTGTTGACAATCAGGAGCCAGACATATTGGCTGCTGATCATGTGACCACTGTGACAGCCAGTCAGAGTGATCACATGATCAGAACGTCCATCCTGCCTCCCAGCTTTAAGACCCACATAAAGGGCCACTGGGAGGCATTTGGGAAAGGAGCAAGAAGAAAAATGTAGTAGCATCTGAAGTCACAGCCACCCATCATATTATATGATGCCTTGAAATTTTTAATATGATTGGAGAATCAAGTAGAGATGGAGGAAGGTATAGAACAGTGGCCAGGCTGTGAACACTTGAATATTCACATATTCTTAACAAACAATGAAAAAGCATTAAAACAAGCCCTTATTGATCTTTGTAGCTGCAGCCACACTTGAGCATTTCATCTTTAAAATCACAGAAGCATCATGAAAATTGATATCTAAGCTAGTTTAGTTTATCTTGCTCCCTTCCCCTTCTAAGCAGACTGGACAGCTTTCTAGCCTTCTAATGTTTAATGTAAGCACAGAACAGGAGCTTTTAGTCAGGGGGACAGAGGAAAATGAGCTGCTGAGAGATACAATGTCAATTGCTTTTAGGGCAAATTATGCTACAGTGCCAGCTGCTACATAGGTAAGTAATAGCTTCTTTTTTAAACATCATTTACAGTTTGTTAAGAATTTGTTAATACTTGAAAGTCCAATTCCTGGCCACAGGTTCACTTTGAGAAAACCATACATCTAGTGACCTATTAGACGTTCTGTGGATTATCTGAGTCGGGCACGACTGCAGTGTTTGCTGGAAAACATTGGTAGTTTACTGAATGCTTTCATCTGTCACCCAGAATTGCTCCATAAATACACAGGTGAACAGTTGCACTTGCCAAAATTCTGTTCAGCCACTCTTGTGATACACACACCACTGTTCTGTTATTCAGAGGAGGACATCAATATTCAAAACCTTACGTATCCTCAGCTTCTGGGCCAGCTTCATGCTTGCTTTCCATGAATACTAAGGCAGTATAGATGATGGGTTTTTATGTTTGCTTTTTCCACTAATATGTGGTCAGACAATTTTTTTTTTAACTAAATGAAGCTTATATTAGCATTGAAACAGTGCTTAATACTCTTGCCAGCCATACGTTAGTCTCTTCTAGTGATTAGGCTGGATGCCAAGCATCCAGTTATGGACAATAAGATAGGCCTGGGGTTTTCTGTAATAATTGTGTTGTTAAATAATTCATGTGCTTTGACATATATTCTATGTATATTGTGCCCCATGGCTTCTAAGATTGCTTACAGTAGGACTAATAAAAGCTTAATATGTGCATATTCCATCTTTTATTCACATGCAACCTTTGTATATTTTCCAGTAGACGTGAGATCAGTGAGCAGAGACAGACTGGTCACTGGAGCCAAAGGCAAATCCACAGGAAGAAAGAGCAGGTAATTGTGAGTTTTTAGGCATCATAGGAATCAGCTCATTACTATGACTGAGATTTCCAAAGAAATATTTGCACAGATTAATCATCTCTTTTTAAGATACCGTGTGTGCCTATATTAAATGAGATTGAGGTTGATGATGAATTATTAAAGCTTTAGGGCATCTGTAGGTTTGTACACAATTCTGGAACAGCTTTCAGTGATCCTTCTATGCCTGCATGCTGGAGAAAGGTCTAGCACTTTATAGAGGTGATGGAGCTTGCCTCCCGCTTTCCACACATTCCCCATGATCCCCTATTGCCCGGGGGGCCCCATGAGTTGTCAGTCCTCCCCTGGGCGTAAGCACTTTTGAAAAAAAAGAGTCAGTAATGGCAGCTCTGATGATTCCATTCTAACAGTTTTGCTCTAAAGCAGATAGAAAGCCAGAACAAATGCCAGTCAATGCACCACTGTGAAAAAAAATAAAGTACTGTAAATAACTCGCAGAGAACATGAAAAGCAGAATAGCTCTTCTGGACCTTTTTATATAGGTGGAGGTACACCAAATAAATGGTGGATTTGAGCCACAGCTGCAGTCAGTGATTACTCTGTGAACCCGAGCCCGATAGCTAGCTGTTCAGAGTTTTCAGCATTTTATTCGAGTGCCTTCAGTAAATTAAAGGCCATGGATTAACTCCCAGGCTGCAAAAGCTTTTACTCTGAAAAGGTGATGTTCTCTGGGTCAGGCTGCAACAAAGGCACAGGGAAAACAATCTGTATGAGAAGAGGAATGCTCTGTGGGTCATTGAACCTTCTTGTGTCTTATGATGCAGGTGCATTATGCAGCAGGTCACTGAGCAGCAAAAAGGAGAATTAAAACACAATATAGTAGTCAGAGGGTAAAGCTGCAGAGACGACTTGTTCTTTCCAGGCTTCACACAAGTTTGAAGAGCATAACATGGCTTTGCATGGCGGTGTGCATTATACTTTTTATTTCTATATACACCAGCGGACATCCGTTTTGTTAGATTGGTTTAACGTGTTAAAATATTTCTGTGCCCACAATTAATTAATTATTACCAGGCTGGATTTGATTTAAATCAAACTGATTTAAATCACGATTTAAATCACGATTTAAATCACTAGTCAGTAAGGCTTGATTTAAATCATAGTTTTCTACATAAAGACTAATTCTTGCTGGTATAAACTTTAATATTCAAGTAGATGAAGATTTTTAGAATAACAACTTTTCATATTAGTTTTTTTATCCCCAGTTTAATAGGTTAATCATTCATATTTGGACAACTTTTCTGTTGTACTTAGGAAGGAGAAAAATAATCATTACCTTAATAATAACAATTTAAATAGATTTATTCAACTGAAACAATAACATTCCAGCATATGTTGTATTTGCTTAAACATCCATGTTTGTTAACTAATTTGGCTAAACAAAATATATATATTTTAAGAAACTTAGACTGTCAGCCCCTTCCTCCTCACTTCGTTTCACTTTCTTCTTGTGCAGATCTATTCCACTCCAAACAATCAGAAAAATATTGTTTCGATTCTATTCACTGAACTTCTTGAAACTTAGCACTGAAGGGGTTGATTCTGTATTTATAGGTTTGTAGAAGTTAAGATTAAGGTCTTTTTCTTAACTCTGTTCATGTTATAACATTTTTGCTGTGAAGAAGAGGCATGTGATCTCCGCTGAGTCAAATTCAGTTTTGAGAACTGCAAAAGTAAACCAAGCATCTGTGATAATATCTTGTAGGCAGAGAAACTGCCCAATAATCTTACAAAAACCTCTGGAAGAGCATGACATTGTGAATGGATTCATGGAATTTATTTACCAAAAAAATTAAACATATACAGCCTTATTCTACATAATTAAAAAAACTAATCTTTATTTCATGATGGAATAACCTTTGGATGGTAATATATTTTCCTCAAAAAGCATTTTATTCAAAAAAATCCGATTTAAATAAAAAAAAAATCTGATTTTTTTTTTTTTTTTTTTTTAAAAATCATTGATTTTTATCCACCCTGATTATTACTTTAATATGTTTGATGGGGTTTTTTATCCCTAAGATGGTGGAAAACACTTAGATGGGAGGTAGTGCCGATGGGAAAGGTTCCATTCTCCACAGACTTTTTGGAGACTCATAGCATTACAGGAATCCTTGAAATTGAGAGCTTTCTAAAGTGAAACTCCTGGCATTTTTTTCTTTCTTCATCCTCTATCCCAGAGATAGTTGTCACAGTTTTCTCTGGTGCATCCATTCCTATTGGAAGATATCCCCTCCATAAAATTTTGGTTTTTCCATTACCTACTGTTTCGACAACAGTCACCAGGACAAAGAGGTGCAGAGGGTGAATCTCCCCAATGGGAGACACAGAACAATACAAAGAAGAGAGCGGTTGTACCCATTCATCTTTAACCACTTCCCGACCAACCGTTGTATATAAACGGCCGGACGGTGGCAGTGCAGGGTCGGGTGGCTGTTTATAAACGACCTCCCCGCACCCTGCTTGTGTGCGCTCCCTGGGAGTGCGCAGTACCGCGATCCGGTGCCCGCTGTGTCCCCCGGACACAGTGAAACACCGATCGCCGGAAGGGACCTCCGAGGTCCCGATCCTGTGATCACTGATTGGCCAATCAGTGATCACATGCAAAGTAGTAAGCAAGATGTCACTTGTGACATCATTGCTTACTACGTGTGAAATCTGTGAATGATCACAGAGGTCACATGGTACAAGGCTATTCGCAACAGCCTTGTACCATGTGACAAGCTGTGACCAATCACAGCTCACTCAGTACTTCTCAATGACTGCAAGAATGCAGACAGAGAGAAAGAGAAATGATTGCTTTTACATCCTATATGGGTGTAAAAGCAATCAGTGTAAAAAAAAAAAAAAATCATCACCCCAACAAGTAGTACAGTGTCACCATGGTGACACTGTACTGCTAGGGTGACAGTACGTAAAAAAAAACTAAATAAATAAAAAATAATAATATATAAAAATAAAATAAAAATGTAAAATAAATGTTTAAAAATTATAATTTTTGGTTATAAACTAATTTGGATTTTTTTTTTTTACTAAAAAGATAACGGAATACGTTTTGGCCAAGATTTATGATGAAATATTATTTATTTGCAAAATTTTATTAAAAAAAAGTTTTTCAAAATTTTTGGACTTTTTCATTTACATAGCAAAAAAAATTAAAAACCCAGCGGTGAATAAATACCACAAAAATAAAGCTTTATCTGTCTCAAAAAAATGGTAAAGAAATGAATTTTGGTACAGTGTTGCATGACCGCGCAATTGTCATTCAAAGTGTGATAGCGCTGAAAGCTGAAAATTGCCCTGGTCAGGAAGGGGGTAAAAGTGTCCGGTCTGGAAGTGGTTAAATCCAAAATATAAACGCTGTAGGTAGAATGCTATGTTTGCTTCCTTGTGTATGTAGACTTTCTTCGTTTGGCTAATAGCATGGCAGTGGTATTATTGAGAAAATGTTAGGAAATCAAGCTTATCATAAAACAACCAATCAAGAAGTACCTTCATTAAACATACGTTTTTGACAGGATCTGAAAGATGACAAGTATAATTGTACAGTGATGCCATTTATGACATTTTATGATCACATTTGCAGAACTAAGTATGAATTCCAGGCAGATATTAAAGACACAAAATAACGCTTCTCTGTATTCATTAACACATCCTTAAATATATTTTCTTTAAGTATAAGAAGTGTACGTACCTGAATTTACCACCTGCCAACTCTGCAGGCAGCATTATTTTTGCCTACTACAAGTGTTCAGTCTCTTATAGTCCCTGTACAGCAGAGCTCAGACTGGGGAAGAAAGAAGTAAGGAGGAGCTAGACAGTTGTGCTGCAGTGCAAGGATCATGCAGATAGCAGCAAAGAGCATAATTGCAGAGTTGAGCTCTTGGTCTGCTGCTTCTCCTTTTACTATCCAGTCACAGGTTGTGCTGCAGTGCAAGGATCAGTTGTGCTGCAGTGCAAGGATCATGCTGATAGTAGCAGAGAGCATAATTGCAGAGTTGAGCCCTCGGTCTGCTGCTTCTCCTTTTACTATCCAGTCAACAGGTTGTGCTGCAGTGTAAGGATCATGCTGATAGAAGCAGAGAGCATAATTGCAGAAGTGAGTTCTCGGTCTGCTTCTTCTCCTTTTACTATCCAGTCACAGGTTGTGCTGCAGTGCAAGGATCATGCTGATAGGAGCAGAGAGCATATCTGCAGAGTTGAGCCCTCGGTCTGCTGCTTTTCCTTTTACTATCCAGTCACAGTTTGTGCTGCAGTGCAAGGACCAGTTGTGCTGCAGTGCAAGGATCATGCTGATAGTAGCAGAGAGCATATCTGCAGAGTTGAGCCCTCGGTCTGCTGCTTTTCCTTTTACTATCCAGTCACAGTTTGTGCTGCAGTGCAAGGACCAGTTGTCAGTGCAAGATCATGCTGATAGTAGCAGAGAGCATAATTGCAGAGTTGAGCCCTCGGTCTGCTGCTTCTCCTTTTACTATCCAGTCACAGGTTGTGCTGCAGTGCAAGGATCAGTTGTGCTGCAGTGCAAAGATCATGCTGATAGTAGCAGAGAGCATAATTGCAGAGTTGAGCCCTCGGTCTGCTGCTTCTCCTTTTACTATCCAGTCAACAGGTTGTGCTGCAGTGTAAGGATCATGCAGATAGAAGCAGAGAGCATAATTGCAGAATTGAGCTCTCAGTCTGCTTCTTCTCCTTTTACTATCCAGTCACAGGTTGTGCTGCAGTGTAAGGACCATGCTGATAGGAGCAGAGAGCATAATAGCAGAGTTGAGCTCTCGTCCTCCTGCTGCTTCTCCTTTTGCTATCCAGTGACAGGTTGGGGGAGGAAGAGGACCTGTAAGTGATATTGAATTATAGCAATGAAAATTCAGGTCTCCTGCTCCACCAGACTGGGCTAGTAGAGCTGTGTAAATACAAATCCTTTGGCAGGTTAACTTCTTCCCACCGCTGCCTCCCAGCCCTTTAACAGGATCCAAATGCCGGGAGGCGGGCATTGTGATCATGTGACCGTTGTGACTAGCAAGTCATCACATGAGCAGAAAGCTCCCAATCGCAAGTATGCATCTGGAGCTTTCCAGTACCCACCAGTTACTGTGCTGAGAGCGTGCAGGGAGCGCGCTGTCAGCAGATATATATGCCGCCACTCAGCACTAAAGCCCACTATCTGAAAGGTCGAATATATGCGTGCGGCTGGCGGGGAGTGGTTAAACAGCTCTCTATTGTGTATAAAGTTGTTTGAATAAAAAAAGATGACAGGCGCATGGAATAAGCAGTCCCCATAATCTCTGGGCTGAGTATGGGGTCAGGAGCTGGCAGGGGAACAAACGGTCTGGAGACACCCGGCGAGCTGTGATAGAGTGAAGCAATGACTGGAGTGGAGTGTTTTCTCTTCTTGTATAAAGTTGTTTACCTGGAGTTTAGCTAACAACTAATGCAGATTAAATATCTAATGTAATTTTTCTTCCCTTAATGTAACATAAAAGTAAAACCTAGATTACTGGGTTCATATTTGATCCTGGTTATTTAATTACAAACTAAACCAGTCAATAGTTTTATATAAAATAGAATGTGCAATATTGTATATCAGATATTTATGTTCCAAAAGCAAATATTTTGCATAATCCCCATTAAGGAATTTTAATGATTTAATATTTTGATTACTCTGAATTTTAATGATTGAATATTTTGATTATTTTGTTCCTTCTCCAATGGATTAAGCTCAGTCTTAGTCAAGTGCAAATATCTCTAAGTTGCAGAACTTGAGGTTAATCAGCCGCGGAAGTAGAAAACATGCAGTGCGAGCCAAGAGCACACTGTGGATGAGATTTAAATGGACCACAATGTCCTTCAAAATTACACTGCTACTAGCCAAATCTATTGAAAATTCAATAAAGTAGGAGCTGTGTAACACCACTTTGTTCATAACACATCTTTCATAATTCAGAAGGCTTAAATAGAATTTTTTAGTCTTTATTCTTCTTAGGCAATCACAATATGATGCTCTTAGAGATCCAATGTGAGTTTAAAATTCTGTCCGTGATTTTATGATGTTATATGTCACCACTTGTAAATGGTCATAGCAATTTAATAAGATTTAACTAGGAAAAATATATAAACTTTTATATTTATAAGTGGTGAGACGGTAATGGTGTTTGGAATATCAAAAATATAAAACATCTGTTAAAAAAAAAATATAAAACAGTGTTGTGGAAATAGTGGGATTTGCAGTTAAATTTTCCTAATAAAATGAGCAGCTTCTATTGAGGACATAAAGAAAACTGCTTATTGGTATATCATTTAGAATGACTATACAACATATTTGTGCACATGGACCAAAAATTTAGCAGCTGGCATTTTGTTAAATTGGTTGTGTGTGTGTATATATATATATATATATATATATATATATATATGGGGTGTTCAGGTCAAACCGGGACTTTTGAGTTTATATAGTAAAGTGTGGAAACTGCATTTATTTTTAGACATACTCCCCTGCTACATTTGTAAATGTATTCCAGTGTTTAACTAATGCCTGGAAAGCTTCAGCATAGAAAGGTTTGTCAGTACATCTGATCCATGCTAGGACGGCCTGCTTCTCTTCTCCATCATTGTGTTCAACATTCCCACAGAAAGAGTCGTCTCCTGGTCAGTTTCACAACAGGTTTTGCGTTGATTATCCAGGATCAGGCATTCCACATGCTGAATGTTCTCAGGAATGACTGCTGTGGGCTGGGAACCACCACAGCTGGGATCGTCACTGATGGACGTACGGCCATCTTTGCAATGTTTACACCATTCAAATGTCTTACTGTGGCTGAGTGTCTCATCACCGTACTGTGCTTGAGGTCTTTTGTAGATATCTGTGGGTTTTACACCTTTGTTCCCAACAAACTTCATCACCACACGCTGTTCCATGCACACACTAACACTGTTTTCTGCTATCTTAATTACGGGTCTCTGGACTGGCAAATGACATGTTGCCTATCAGTAATAGGACACACTTGCCACTTACTACTGTGTGCAGTGCCACTACACTAGTATCCCCTATGATACCTGTAAAATTAAAAGTCCCGGTTTGACCTGAACGCCTCTCGGGTATATATAGTATAAGTATATATATATATATATATATATGTGTGTGTGCATATGTATATATATATATATATATATATATATATACACACACAAAAAAGAGTATAACCCATTAGATTATGGTAGGGTGAGCCAAGAAGAACAAAAAAGTCCTCCACTAAGCCAGTGGGATGCTATTTACATGTGTACAGTGGACAAATCAAAGAGTGGACAAATCAAAGAGCCACAAAACCATCCACTGAAAAGCTATGAGTAACATTTCTTCCTCTGCAGAGGGAGGGGAAGGGGCATAGACTGCCGCTAATCTAAGCTTCACTTTTAGTGCTTTGGGGGTTTATTTATTTTAGGCAAATAGTTTGTTTGCTTTTTAAGGAAGATGTTGCAGTTTGCAAGGGAATTTACCCCAAAGCTTAGTGAATGAGGTGAAGCTGTACTGAATTCCATCATCTGATTATGTGCAATCAAAAATATTCAGCTATGCCTGGTAGTTGCATAAACACTAAATTATATAGACTATTTCTGAAACAATAGTGGTGAATGCTATTGTAAACAAGTAATAAACCAGAAAAATAGCTTTGTGCAAAATACAGTAACCCATGGGCCCTGGATTTTGATTAGTGTGAAACTGTAATTTTGATGGTATGGCTCACTCCACTCGGAACATGCCTTACTAAGTCAGCCAAGCAAAACAAGGTTATATATTCAAATCCCCAATGTGTCTAGATCAAATTCCAGGTTCCCAAAAGGCAGGGAAAGCAGATTTTTTTCCCTGATTCTGAATATGAATTTAAGAAGGATAAAACTTTTTTAGAAAAAAACATTTAATGTGGTTGTGACAAGTGTTGTATTACTTTTGCAGGATGATGGATGGGTCATTGTCATCAGAAACCTCTCAAACAGCATTAATGCTCATGAGCTGAAGAAAAGATTTGAAGTGTTTGGAGAGATTCTTGAATGTCGGGTCCTCAGCAAAAGCAGGTAACTAACAATCTTTCTCTTCCTTTCATTAGATAGTACTGAGAATGCAGAAAATCCAAATTGCACATTGACACTAGAGGGCTGTTGGAACACAATCTCACAAATTAGGGGCAATAGCTTTTGTACAAGTTAGAAAAGGATGTCCATTTCCTACAACTGTCTTGTGCCCCTAAGTAACTACAGAGTGGAGAATTAGTGAGTGTAGTGACTAGCAGAAGAATACATATACTGTAGATGTATGTCAACTATACAGTATGTTTAGCTGTTTGCCTGGAGTTTCACTTTAAATATAGATTACTACTTTCCTTCATAAATTTATAGGGCTTGGAACTTTGCCATTGGCAAAGTGTAATTTAAAAAAACACAATTTTCTTTTGATCCAAAAGTATAATTGCATATTTATGAAGTTGGCCCTATGGAAATAAGTTAAATCTTTTTCACTTTTAGAGGAGAAAAGCATGGATTCATCACTTATCGGCGATCGGAACATGCTGAAATGTCACTAAAGAAGGGCCCTTCTCTGAGAAAAAAGAACGAACCATCATTTCACATGAGCTACGGAGGTTCTAGGCATGTTTTTTGGACCAAATAATGCCACCTAGGTAAAACCCATGACCAAATGGTTCATCTATGCCTCTACAGAACATGTATATGAGTGTGTGTAAAAAGTTAAAGTGGTCAGAGATATGTGCAGCTCATTGTCCCCAGGTGATAGCTGGTGTCCTGTCCCATCTAGCCTTGGCCATCACTGGTTGCGCCATTTTTTTTTTGTAAAGCATTTGATTTGGTATGTGATTTTGATGTTCTAAATCAGCCTTTTTTCAACTTGAGTGCTGTCTGATTGCTTTCACTGTCCCTGCTAATCAGCATGCTAATCAGCACGGACTTCGATGTTGGATTGAGGAGTGGTCAAGCACAAGGGGTCGTGGGTGAGGGGGCTTATTGAGTGTCAAGGTATGGCCAGTGGCAGGATAGTGCAGTGGGCAAGAAAAGCGGGTATCTAGGGACTGTGAGTGATAAGGAGAAGCAGCCAGAGTAACCAGTCACGTGTTACCCATTGGTTTGAATGGGGAAAGGGGGGGGGGGCCTTAATGGGTTGCATTATACCTAAAATTTGTTGTTGATTTACACTGACTGGTTGATATTCCATTATTAGATTCAAACATAGAGGAGCCCTCATCAATGAAGAAGTACGAGTCCATGGATTTTGACAACTTGCGTCGATGACAGCCTTATAAAGGAGGAGTACCTCAATACCTCAGACAAGGCACTTCCAAGATGTTTACGTTTTTTGAAACAAAAAAAAAAATGGAATAGAGAAAAAAAAAGACTTGATCCTTTAAATTGATGTTTACATTGAACAAAGCTGCTTCTGTATGTGATTTTATCCCATGGTGTTGCTGTCTCACTGCCACATTTTAGAATCGTTGCTTTTCCAGGTATGTCTGTAAACCTCCTGTCCTCCCCTTTCCCCTTGTGGTTGCAGCTATGTTCACCATAACATTTTGTCTGTAGTGCGTAAAAACAAAACCCAAAAAACAAAAAAAATGTCTTTTGTGAATAGTCTGAATTACAAAACTAATTTTAATTGGGGGAAAAAAAGGTGTATATTCTTAAAATTAATAATGATGTATTTATGGTTCACATGTACTGTATTTCAGATTGTTGTTTGCTTCATCTTGAACTATGCACTCTAGTGAGGTGTTTGCAAAAGATCAGAATTAATCCTCAAGTTTTAGTATTCATTATCAAACTACAGGGCATTGAAGGCTGGTCTGGACGAACGCAGGGCATTGACAACAATAGACATGATATTGCAGCAAAAGAGATTCATGTTTAAAATAAATATATATTTAGGGGTATATGTATAAATAGCACATTGTTATAGTTGAAAATGTGTTTTTCAAGGACACTGGATCGCACGCACATTGTGGAAACACCACACTGGTACTTTAATACTTTCCTGCCTTTTTGAAGCCTCTGAGGGAGCTGTCTTCATATGTGCTTTAAAAGCAATTTGGAACTTGCACAGTACTTTCTCACAGTTTACAGTAATGAATCTATCAGTGTAAATACCACATTCCTTCGTTTTTCTTAAAAAGAAAATGTTTCTTTTTTTTGTTTTTAAGTACAGTACAAAGATTTGTGCAGTAGATAACCCATACGTTTGTCTTGTAATGTGAATATTTTTGATATGTACACTTTTTCTGGTAGCATCTGTGAACAGTTCGAACATGTTTTCTATACATACAATTGCTTGTACCCCCTCTCTGCCTGAGCAAAAAAAAAGGTCAGTTACCACGCCTACAAATGAAAGTGTGCAAAAATATACTATGTCCAAAATGCCAATGTCGACCAGTCAACTTCTCCTATAGATAACAGAATGAGAGGGATAAACTGATTGGTTGCTAGGGGCACTGTTTCTTTCAAAGGCTTATTATTTTGTTCTGATTTGTAATTGGGTGCCCTGTGAGAAGTGTCCAAAATCTCATTAAGTCAAGCAGATTGTATCCGTCATCAATGATATGTGTTTATTTCCAAAGATTATTAGGGAGAACTATCTCCTTATCACCTTATTGTATGCAGTGAATTCATGATATCGCTATGTGACAGCAATACACGCCTGGAATAATGGTCTCCATGTTGTGACAGAGGCATTTAGTCTTGTGTTCAGTAAGAAATGATCAATATTGTAACAAAGCCCACAGTCTGATTAGGACATCCATTCTTTATCCATAAAAGCAAACATGTGCTTTGTCCACAAAGGGCAAAACATTATTGTCCCTCTCACTAGCAGTACATTCTCACCCTTCCTTTGCACCCCCACCTAGCCATGCAGGTAGCAGCAACAAAGGAAATATTGGGTACTTTATGGTATGGAGGAGCATGTGACTTGCTCTTCAATTTCCCATGTGACAGTGCTGCTTGGTGATTGTCCCACCGTTGTCACATGATGTGAGGAGACATTCTTGCAGTTCAGACTACAGCAACTCTGAACTTACAAAGGACTTCCTTTTCTCACTTCTGGTAGCTATATGGCAAGGTGGGGGAGCAGATGTAAAGCAAACGTTACTGTGGAGCGGACCATGAAAGTGAACCTGATGCTTTGCCATGCCTGGGTAAACCATGTGTTTCTAGATCTAGTACAGGTTGCAATCCGATTGGTGACTGTGAAGCCAATAGCATCACTTATCAAGACAAATGATAAGAGGCCTGTTATTTCTACGTAAAATAACTTATCTTTGTGTAAAAGCCATTATGTCCAATAACACCAATGTTGTGAATATTCTTATTTATGTTTTGGGAACAGGGACTGCTGAAGCTGCTTAATATATGTTTACCAGGGTAGTTTAGAATGTAGGATTAAGCCATTTTGTGTAGATTAGGAGACGTAGCCTTACTACTTCAAATAGTTACCGGCTGAAGGACTTCTTCCGGTCTTATTTTTTTATATTTTGCCAAAGTTTCCAGCAGCTCCCACGACCCTGGGTAGGATTAAACATACCTCTTTGGCAAACACCTTATTGTAGATCTGCCTTTCTGTCATAGTATTTCCATACAATGATGTTTACATGTGATTGCTATAGAGTTTACTGTAGAAAAACAAAAAAACAAAACGATATATAGCTATATATATATATATATAAGTATATAATATATGATGCCCTTAGGGTAATTAGTATTGTCCTGTGTTGTGCTGATAGTTTTGAGAACAATATGGAGTATTGGTCACCTGACTCAAAGCATACAGTTTACCTAAAGCCCATGATGCCTTGGGGTTCAAATTGTATCAAGATCAATGATCAATTTATTTTTTAAACAGTTTTTTCTGTGGCAGATGGGTTTCCAATTTTTTCTTTTGCCTGCCTACGGCTGTTTTGTCGCCTGCTTGTCAAGGTCATTAGTGCTTCCTTTCGGTGACCAGATTTCCTTTCACACAGAAGACCTGATAGTAGATGCTGTTATGACCAAGTCTTTAAGTGTGGTGTACATATTCAGTGGATTGAAGAATTGTATTTGTTTCCATGAGGCCTTTAGACCATTGTTTAGCAAGCATGTTGTGCAGCACTTATGCAATGCTTACCTACTTGCACAGGTAGTTACAAAGCAGGTCCATCTTGAGTATGTTCATCTGTAAGCCATTGTTTGATCCTTTTTCTTTTTGTTGTTATTTCAGTGGTAACGCACTTAACACCCATGAATGTATTTCAAGGTAGATTGTGGCCTGTATTAAAACTTTAACAGTGGCAATCATGTTTTAGTGCAAACTCCTACTATGGAATCATACAGTGTCTTTTTTTTTTAAATGATTGAATCTGTAATTTGGTCTATGGGTTTACCATATTTGTCAGTATAACAATAAACAGGTTATTACTGGTTTGGAAGGAGTAAAATACTACAACATGAATAATATATTTAATGCATATTAGATATTCTGTTAACGTGCTTACATATGCAAAAGAAAGGTGTTATGGATTGTCTTATTAGACAATCTATAGGACAGAGTAATCAACTATAACTTTATGTAAATATTTAGCCAGTGCTATTAATCATACCATAACATCTACGAGAATATAGCAGTTTAAAACTTAACCTCGGATATGAAAACTTATATCAAATGTGTTCCTCAATACCCACAAATGATCTAAATCCACCTGATAAACGTAGTGGTGACACCATTATGGTGCTGAGCAGAGTTGTGGGATAGACACAACAGGTTCTCCCATTATAGGTTGCCTACAGAAACCTATAGGGAGGGCGGATACAAAATCAGTCACTCTGCACAAGGAGAGATAGCATCAGTGACTGGTCTTTATTGCATAAAACCCCTGCACAAAGTAGCAAAGGGCAGGGATTGTTTCATGTTAGATTACTGCATGGATCTGGAGACAATACACAAAGGACCTCAAGATTTGAGTAAGAATACCCATGTCTTTTGTATTTAGACAATATTCATTTAGCCCACATTTTCAGCTTTAATGTAAAAAAAGACAAAACCTAGGTTGGCATAACACCCAAGTTATGCAAGGCTGTGGTTGTATCAAAGAAGATAAAGGTTTTTGTAAGAGTACATGCCTGCCAGGAACCACCTTTTTCCTTGGCAAGGCATACAGTCACAGTTGTATTTGGTGAGGCTGCTCTGCAATGTGTCACTTATTGAAGATAACTGTTGAGTCTGGGCCCAGGTTGGGTCACAACTTGGAGACCACAGTTAAGTCTGTCCTGTTTATGTCCTGTATCTAGAGATAGGCTCCATCTGCCATATTGCCTTCAACTCTGAAGCCACAATCTGAAAAACACCAATGTAGATTATTCTATGTCATTTCTTTAGAAACAATCTGCCAGACAAAATGACTTCACTGGGAAATTTCCAACAATGAGTAGGAAAACATAAGGGGTAGGTCATCCAACTTGAAAAATTACTCTAATGTATCAGAGAGCTTCACCAATAGACTTCTTGTGTAACTTACAGCACACACAAAGAAGCCATAATCAGACACCCAAGTGTTTTATTTTTGGGTGGTGTCCTTAATTGAAATAAGTCAGGCATGCATGCTCTTTATATTCTAGATCAGTATTCTGGCTAATAAATACAGGAACCTAAATTTCTATAGTTACAGTTCCATGTGATCACATGTATTTTTTCCTGTTTTACCCCACAATTAAAGCATATAGTATGCAGACACATCAAAGTTAATATCTTCTATATTAAAAGTAAATGCACCTTGAACATATGTATAGGGAAATGGAAGTATTAAGAATTCTATAGGGAATAGATTGGATTATTATTTTTGTAAATGTTCTTTGAATGCAAGTTTAGCCACTAAAATACAATTATTTTCTTATGCTTAATGCCCTATAGTATATTGTAATTGAGTATCTATTAGTATACCTTTGGATCCTTACTGAAGTCCTTTCCACTGGATTACAAGAAATAAAGCAATATGGCCGCTCAACGTGGCCAAGTTGTCTGTCCATGTCACATATAAGTCGTGTGAATTGCATTAAAAATCTGTTTCAATAAGCCAATAATTCTCCTGTTAAATGCGACAGGTCAGAAAAATTCACTAGTTCCCTAAGTGTGCAGTCTGTTCATTGTCTAAATAATCTTTATTGTAATTAATAAATCTTTCTTTTCCCACTTACTGTCAGCAATTCACCTATAGCTGTTTAAATTTCATTGTTGTCTGTTGCTTTTCATGTTCCATTTGATTTCCTTGTGTTCTTTTTATACAAGTGAAAACTCTAATCATTTGTACAGTTTTCTAATTTCATATTACACTCTATATGTACATAATTTTCCTTTATTTCACGTGGTGTTTTACCCTGTGTAATCACACTTTTTTTTACTTTGCTTTTCCTAAGCACCATTAAGCAATAGTATGAGAAATCTACCCATTTAATTTTCTGTCTTGCCCCCTCACTGCTGTCCAATAGTATAGTATCACTGTTCAGTAGTCCACATTAAACTTCCCCTAAAATGGCCAAATTTATTGAGACACATCTTAAAGTATATCTAAAGCCCTAATTTGTTTTTCAAATTTTATATAGTGTAGACGAGGGATATAACTGTCAAGTTTTTCTTTAAATTTTTTTTCACTTCTTGTCCTGTAGCCTCAACACAAAGTGAGAGGATATCTTTCCAATATGGACAATATCGCCTTTTAGACAGTTGTCATGGGAACAAATGTCCCTATTGAAAAATTTCCACTTTACTCCTGCTCTTGCAATTCAAAATGTGGAATTTGCACTCACTTTCATTTCTGGTGACATTAGTGGCCAGGATAATTGGAGAGAATAAATTGCCCTAATGAAGACACAGACAGCAATAAAAACCTGAGTATGCTTCTAACCTCTCACTACTTTATTCAACCCAAAAAAATTGCCTTTAATTATACTTTAAGAAAATGAAAGGAGTTTATGTTGACATTTGTAATCAAACACCCTTCAGCTATTTTCTAACCTGTATCACTGTTGGAACCTGATTGGTTGGTAAGTCACTAACGCCTTACTTTCCACTCATTGTATGTCTGCCTTGGGTCAGATTGAACATCATGGGCCTTATCGGGAAAGTCTGTAGTACTACCCTTAGTGTGTCTCATGTATTTCTGGTGCAGGATGGAAAATGAAACAAAGAAGCTGGTTTTTATGGACAACACAAACTTTCAGCCACTTTCTTTTAAGGCTACAATTCAGAATGATCTATGGGCTTCTTTGGGATTCCATCAAGACAGGGATTCTATAACCTTTGCAATCTAGAATGTAATACTCAAGATCACAGTGTGTGGGGCATTATTAACAATCTAGCGTGAATATGGGTAATAAAAATGTTTTGTATGATTTAATATTTTTCATTAGGATTGTGTATGGATTTTCACCATGCCACATCATTTTATTTATGATTACATAAATCTATTTTTTTGGTATGAATACTGCTAATTCTTGAATTAATGGTTAATATGAATGATTCATGTGTTGTTTTGTTTTATTAATGGTAGAGGTTTATATATATATATATATATATATATATATATATATATACATATATATATATTTCACTTTTAAATTTAATTCTGTTATACCTTTTATTTATGTACCATACATTTTACCCTCAAATGGCATACATTTTCTTGACTTTTTTATTTTTTTTTTAGTGTGATTTAACTGTCTACCTTATAAAGAAAGAGGATGTTTTATTGTATTTTTACATTCAGATCGTATAGTTTCGTAGATAATTTAACCAAAATCGCTCAGTGTATTATCCAGTGAGTAAAATTATATTTTAAACTGTGTAAATACTTTCTGGACTGGCTTCTTTTATTCAAATTCTATTCCTCTGGATAAGGAGTTTCTTGTTTACATTACGGAATAAACTGTAGAATCTCTACGTTCATGTACTGTAAATAGCAAATGTGTTCAGCCTATGAATAAAACTATACCATGGATGGTAAAAATCTAATAACTAAAATTCTTGTCTTGTGAATATGCCGTATTCCTTTTTTAAAAAAACCTTAAAAAATTTCCGTCTTGTGATTGGAAAAGAGGGAAACTCTAATTTCAACTATCCAAAAATCTTGACTGGAGTTGGGCTTTCACATTAATCTCCTGTACAAGAGGAGGATATTTAAGAGGATATGAGGCAATTTATTTAAGGCAGATGTAAAAGATAGCATCAGCTCAGACTGATGCAAAGGAGCCAATCAGTTGTGCCACAGTGCTCATGTGCTAGCAAGAAGCATGCCGATATGAATAAAGCAAAATGACCCAGATATAAGTTAATCAGTCTACTACTTCTCCTTTCCCTGCCCAATCACAGGATGGACATGGCTTTATGGGCCCTTTCACATGGGCTTCTGATCACTTCCACCTGTCGGTTTTTTAGGAAGATCAGATTGGAAGCTCCATGCAGTCCTATGGGCAGGTGGATGTAAACAGATTACATCTGGCTACCATTCAGGTCAGCAAAACAGAAAAGGGCTGCATCTTTTTCTGTGTTTGCAGACCTAAATATGATGAATCGGAGGTACACAGCAGAGTCGGTTTATATCCAGCCATCCATAGAGCTATCAGGGGTCTACTGGGCACAAAATGGAAGAGGCACTGATGTCACACACACATATATATATATATATAGTCACTATATTGCCAAAAGTATTGGGACACCCCTCCAAATCATTGGATTCAGGTCAATCACCTCTATGGCCCAAGGTGTATAAAATCAAGCACCTAGGCATGCAGACTGCTCCTACAAACATTTGTGAAAGAATGGGTCGCTCTCAGGACCTCAGTGAATTTAGGAGTGGTACCATGATAGGGTGCTACCAGTGCAATAAGTCCATCCGTGAAATTTCCTTTTTACTAAATATTCCATGGTCAACTGTTAGTGGTATTATAACAAAGTGGAAGCAACTGGGAACAACAGCAACAGACCACGTAAAATGACAACAGGGTCAGCGCATGCTGAAGTGCGCAGAAGTCGCAAACTGCAGAGTCAATGGATAAAGACCTCCAAACTTCATGTGGCCTTCAGATTAGCACATCAGTGCGTAGAGAGCTTCATGGAATGGGTTTTTATGGCCGAGCAGCTGCATCCAAGCCTTACATCACCAAGTGTAATGCAAAGCGTCAGATGCAGTGGTGTAAAGAGTGAATTTAAGAGTGGTACCATGATAGGGTGCTACCAGTGCAATAAGTCCATCCGTGAAATTTCCTTTTTACTAAATATTCCATGATCAACTGTTAGTGGTATTCTAACAAAGTGGAAGCAACTGGGAACAACAGCAACAGACCACGTAAAATGACAACAGGGTCAGCACATGCTGAAGTGCGCAGAAGTCGCAAACTGCAGAGTCAATGGATAAAGACCTCCAAACTTCATGTGGCCTTCAGATTAGCACATCAGTGCGTAGAGAGCTTCATGGAATGGGTTTCTATGGCCGAGCGGCTGCTGCATCCAAGCCTTACATCGCCAAGTGCAATGCAAAGCGTCAGATGCAGTGGTGTAAAGTACGCCACCACTGGACTCTAGAGCAGTGGAGACGTGTTCTCTGGAGTGAAGAATCATGCTTCTCTGGCAATCCGATGGATGTGTCTGGGTTTTGGTAGTTGCCACGAGAATGGTACTTGCCTGACTGCAATGTGCCCAGTGTAAAGTTTGGTGGAGGGGTTGTTTTTCAGGGGTTGGGCTTGGCCACTTAGTTCCAGTGAATGGAACTTTTAAGGTGTCAGGATACCAAGACATTTTGGACAATTTCATGATCCCAACTTTGTGGGAATAGTTTGGGGATGGTCCCTTCCTGTTCCAACATGACTGCACACCAGTGCACAAAGCAAGGTCCATAAAGACATGGACATGAGCGAGTTTGGGGTGGAGGATCTTGACTGGCCTGCAACTCGATAGAACACCTTTGGGATGAATTAGAGCGGAAACTGTGAGCCAGGCCTTCTCATCTGTGTATCTGCAGTTAGCCTTGGATTCAGCTTTAATGAGAAGTCTTAGACTTCCTAACTCCAGTCATGAGAAAAATTACATGACATCACTTACCATAAATGTGGGTAGTAATAGTTTCAATGGCCCAGAAATGGCATAAAACCTAATATTATAAGTGGCGTGACCTAATGAAAGGAGAAGAATATGGGGCAAGGGGTCATAGCCTAATATGTACCAAATGTAGATGTTCAGTTATTACGAGACTTTACCTGGACAAAATGTTCCTAGTTATTTTATTGGTTGTCAGCTGTCTGATGAGTGTGTGCAGAGTAATGGTTATGCTAATTGGGAAATACATATTTTTAGTGATTGGCCCATCCAATTTAAAAAGACTAATTTAGGAGGTAGAGGTATTGAAAATCTTTAGGTAATTTTTTCCCATCCAGGTCTCTTGGTGCTAGGGTTATTGTTAGACAATTGTCTACTGTATTGCATGAAAATGGTAATTCGGGTGCTTTAGAAATAATCACCAATTACAATTAAAAAGTAAAAACCGAGTTTAGATAGTGTGGTAGAGAAACATAACAAATTCTGCCCGTTCAGTGTTACTTTCCTAATATATAAAGTGGTGCAGTTAAAATGGGGTTGATTTACTTAACCTCCTTGGCGGTATTCCCGAGTGTAGCTCGGGGTAACATTTCAGTACCAAAAGCGGTAACCCCGAGCTACACTCGGGAATACCATGCGGCGCTGCTCCGGCATGTGTTCTTCACTTACCTTACCCTGCGCTCCCACGATGTGTCCCCTGCAGCGTCCCCGGCCATCTCCTCCGGCCGATGCCGGCATCCGGCTTCTGTGTCCTGTCCCTGTGACGTCGGGACGTACGGGCGCCACCGCCGCGGCGGGAAATTTAAAAATTTTAAAAAATGTCATTTTTTTTTTTTTTTTTTTTCATTTTACACAGTAAAACATTGCTGTTTCAACATATTTCAGATACATATTGTCCCTAGTGCTTTGTCCTGTGCCCTGCCTGCATTTTGTCTGTTCTTTCTGCCTGGAAACTGAGAAATGTCCACAAAAAGTGTCCCTTTAGGTCAAAAGCGGTTTTAGACCGGCTAAGAACAGCGATAGTAAATCAGAACCACTTACAGAATAGTGATAATGATTCGTGGGGGAAATTCGTCATCAGAAACTGAAAACGATTTTGCAACTGAGCTCAGCAATGTGCGAACTTGGCGCTATATTTCACATTTCAGTGTTTTTGGTTTGATTATATTATTGAATTAAATTTTTTATTATTTTTATATTATTTTTATGATTATTTATTAAATTATAATTTATGATTTTGTGTTTCAAATTTTATCATACCCGGGATGTTTACTAGACTCTTGTTCGACAGATTTCAGTGAGTTTTTCCTAAAAATTACAGCCTACAATAAAAAAAATACATATTTCCATGCAAAAAAATGGTACCGCTTTCAGCAGCAAAAATCTGAAATAATCATACCGCCAGGGAGGTTAAGGTGCATAAAATGTGCACTTTGCAAGTACAGTTTCACTCATTTCCCCAGAGCTTAATGAATGCAGTGAAGCTTCACTTTGTAAAGAATGCCCATAAAAAACAGCATTTTTTTCTTGCACATGATAAGATGATGGAAATCAGCAGAGCTTCACCACATTCACTAAGCGTTGGGGAAATGAGTGCAACTGCACTTACAAAGTGCAGTCTATTTCCTTTTAGTAAATAAACCCCAAAGGATATCACTTAAACTCCAAACGTTTTATATTAATTGATGGCTAACAACAGTACAATACTGTATTACAGCCAGGAGTTTTACTATAAGGCTTTAGTTATATTTTGTTTACTTTACTTACTGAAGGCAAATAGGTTGTGCATTTTGCAAGAACATTTTCACTTTGCAAGATTGTGGTGAAATATCACTTAACAAAGTATACCCAGTCATGTGCAAGAAAAATTAAAAAAAGTATTTTTACTTGTACATGATTGGATGATGGAAGTCAGCAGAGCTTCATCTCATTCACTAAGCTAATGAAATGCTCTCTTGCAAAGTGAAGAGCCTATTTGCATTTAGAAAATCAATCCCTAGGAATTATATTAATAAAGCACCTGGTCTAAACTGTGCCCACCCCTGTATGATGAAGAATTAAGATCAGTGATTGAAAAAACACTATATCTTATTTTCTTAGGATTTTTTTTTTAACCTAGAACAGTCATCTAGCGAAATTGTACCATTATTTAAAAAGGGTAAAAAGCTTCAACTGAGTAACAATGGTTCAGTAAGCCTGAATTAAAGTGGAATTTCACACTGACAATCAACAAGGACTATTTTTAATATTTGTGCTGCTAGCATTGGTAAGTGGATAGGAAAGTATATTATATTTACTTACCGTATTTTCCGGCGTATAAGACGACCCCCTACTTTTCCAGTTAAAATATAGTGTTTGGGCTATACTCGCCGTATAAGAGGAATAGTGCCCCATCATTGGTGTCAGTGGGAGGAATAGTGTCCCATCATTGGTATTAGTGGGAGGAATAGTGCCCCATCATTGGTATTAGTGGGAGGAATAGTGCCCCATCATTGGTGTCAGTGGGAGGAATAGTGCCCCATCATTGGTGTCAGAGCGACGAATCATGACCCCATCATTGGTATCAGTGGAAGGAATAGTGCCCCATCATTGGTATTAGTGGGAGGAATAGCGCCCCATCATTGGTGTCAGTGGGAGGAATCGTGCCCCATCATTGGTATCAGTGGCAGGAATAGTGCCCCATCATTAGTATCAGTGGGGGGGAATAGTGCCCCATCTTTGGTGTGCCCCAGTGGGGGAGGAATCGTGCCCCGTCATTGGTGTCAGTGGGAGGAATAGTGTCCCAACATTGGTGTCAGTGGGAGGAATAGTGTCCCAACATTGGTGTCAGTGGGAGGAATAGTATCCCATCATTGGTGTCAGTGGGGGAAGGAATAGTGTTCCATCATTGGTGTCAGTGGGGGGTGGAATAGTGCCCCATCGTTGTTTTCAGTGGGGGTGGTGGAATAGTGCCCCATCGTTGGTGTCAGTGGGGGGGAGGAAAAGTGCCCCATCGTTGGTGTCAGTGGGAGGAATAATGCCCCATCATTGGTATCAGTGACACCAATGATGGGGCACTATTCCTCCCACTGACACCAATGACACTTGCTGACCCCTGTTCCAGTATGGTGCTGCTGCAGCCAGCATTTGTGGTTGTAGCAGCACCTCTGCACGGCACACTTACCGGCTCCACTTGATTTTCGCGGGGCCGCTCGGCTCCGCCTCCTCGCCGGTGATTGGCCGCCTGTGTGCCTTTCCTGAGCTACAGTTCTGGTGGCCAATCACCGGTGAGGAGGCGGAGCCGAGCAGCCGCACGAACAACTAGTGGCCGAACTGAATGGAGGAGCAGCCGCGCTTCCTGGACTGGATCGTCGTGGGACTGGGACCAGAGCCAGGTAAGAAACAGCAGCCCCTGCCCACCCCTGTACTTATTGTCCCTTCCGTTGGAAGGGGGGGGCGGCGGCGGCACACCGCACCACCCCCCCCTAAAAAGTGCCGCCCTGACACCAAATGTCAGCATGCCGTATACCGGCGTATAAGACGACCCCCGACTTTTGAGAAGATTTTCAAGGGGTAAAAAGTCGTCTTATACAACGGAAAATACTGTATTTTAAACTTTTTATTACATTTCTTCAGATACTTCCTAGTTTCAATGCCTGGGCAAGGGAAGACAGGGTTCTCAGCGCAGCCAATGCCTAAGCTAAGGGCAGATGGATTTAGAATCAACATTTTCTATGGGATTTTCTACTACAAAATACTCCCAATACTTCCTAACAAATTCATTCAAGACCATGTTGCAAAATATAAATATACCCCAATGAAAGTCCTAGGAGCAAAGCTAAATTTTGGACAACAAAATCCTGATTAACAAGAATTCAACTACAGGTGAGTCTAGTTATTCATTAAACAGGTGTTTAGCGGACAGTTGATCATAAAAGGGCATTACTTAACAAAGAAATCCTCATCCCATTTCATGCTGTCAGCAACAGCACCACATGGAAGAGAAATGTCACAAGGCCTGAGTAGGTAAATCATTTCTTTACACAAGAAAAGTGAAGGTTTAAGAAGATCAGCAAAGTTTTACTTATTAGTCAGAATATTGTAACAAAAGTGATACAAAAATGTAACAAAGATGGAACTGCATCCATCTCAGAGATGTCCAGGCCATTCACAGAAGTTGGAAAAAAGCACACAGGTGGCGCAAACACCTAGCGCATTATCCAAGGTTTATTAAAATGTTTTAAAAAGACAAAAAACATACTCACAAAATATGTACGTGAAAAGCCTGTAAAGCCACAGGGATGGCCCAAAATAATGGTAGAGTGCCCGACTGGTGGTGCGGTCAGCCTGCTGACACATTTTGGGGATATGTTCCTTTCCTCAGAGCTCTGAGTATGTTTTTGTCTTTTAAAAACATTTTAATAAACCTTGGATAATGCCT